ATGGCCAGAGACCGGGAAGGCATGGACACAGACGACGAAAGGTGGGATCACAGTTTTTTCTCTCTGTTGAGTCCTGCAGTTTTATAAAATTCACCATTTTTTTTGTTGTTGTTTTTAATTGGTGAGGTTGTTTGAGATTCACATTCAACACGTAGCCTGTTGAATGTTTGCTTCTTAGCAATTTTTAGATTACTTTCATCTGCAAATTTAATTTTCATTTAATCTAAATACTTCGGATAGCTAACAGGTGACTAATTTGCTGATGGAGCGTTCAAAAAACGTGCTCAATATCCTGTTAATGTTGATTTTTCTTGTGTGCAAGGTTATTTACCGTGATTTTGTTTTTTCCTTTTCTCCCTTTAGACAATACCAGGACTTCCTGGAGGATCTGGAGGAAGATGAGGCATTGCGGAAAAATGTCAACATCTACAGAGGTGAGCCTTTAATTCAGCAAAAACATGTATCCCATTTAAAGTTGATCATATTAACTGTAATTTGGTTCAAATTTTAAAACATCTATTTGAGTAATTAAATGTAGTCTTAATAATTATACAGTATAGTTAAAATTAGTTTACAATATAACATGTGTACAGAAAGTACTATTTAATATCACTTTTGTCAGATTGCAGGTCAGTAATTGATGTCTGCTGCTTAATTTTTTGCAAAATTACTCATTTTAGGACTTAGATTTTATTTAAAAATGAGCAATTTTTTTCCTTCCTTCATCAGATGCTTCAAAGATCCCAGTAGAGAGCGACACCGATGATGACGGAGCGCCGCGCATCTCCCTAATGGAGATGATGGAAGAGCTCAGCCTGGCGGACGCCACCGGAGGAGAAGGTGCCGACATGATGACTGACTGACCAGCTCTTTTTATATAGTTCTGCGTGGCTTTGACATTGAATGTGTCGGGTTCATATCTACTGATGGAAAAGGCGACTACAAATATTAAGGACAGAGATTGTCTGATAAGGCAGTAAAGAGTTTTTTGAACTGTTGTGCAATAATTTTTAACCCCACCAAGGCTTAACAGTCTCACTAAGAAACTAGTCTTTCAGTCTCACATTAATTAAATGATTTCATCTCTGTACCTGTAAATACTCCATCTAAAATCCAAATAATAAATATACTTTATCAAAATAAATGTGACCTTTATATTTTTCTTTTTCTTAAAATAGCCACCAGGGGGCGCTTTGGGCAAAAACAACAAAAAAATCAAAATAGGGGCAAAGTATTCATGTGTCTCAACTTGCAGTAAGGTGAATCAGTAGGTCACATAATGGTTTCATTTGGCTACTGTGGCCAATATGCAAAACCTTTCATGTGGAAAGCATGTTGAAGTAAGGAACGTTCTGTACGTTCTTTGAAATCAGATGGTGCTGGAGATATAAATTTGATTTATAATTTAGATTTCAATGGCACCACGTGTCTGTGGCCACTCCACCTCTCCAGATCATCTGTTTATTGGCCATTACGTGTCTGTCCGCACTTGATCAAAGGAACATTTACATTTCTCACCTGAAATCAGCTTGTGTATGCAAAAGAACTCCCAGAGATGGCTGTCATGTCATGAAGTAAAGCTTTCAGGTCGTGAACTACTGGTGAGTTACTGAAATTGTTACTAAACAATGACTGCTGAGGAATAACAAATGCTTTGTTGTTTTTCATAAAAATTAATGAATCAGTGGAGTCAAATCAAAGTTGAATACTATTGGGCTCTTTATAGACTGACAAAAGTCAATCATGAAAAGTTTGTTTCAAATCTGATAACTTGTATGTGATTTATAAACGACCGTATGCATACGGAGAGGGACTGCAATTCGCCATTCGTCTATACCATTTCTTTTGTCTGGAATGTCACTAAAATTGCTTTTGGGAACAGTGGGGTCACTACTGTTAACTGCGACTGTGCAGTCATGACCTGGTGGGCCGGTCTATCAGTCAAACCTTTCACAGCAGAGCAGAAGAGGACAGTGGCTGATTTTCAGACCTTTGCTGAGGTTGATAAGATCGGGGGATAAGACTGGCTTCACAATGTAAATGTCGGCCGATCGCCGATCTCCCAAAATTAAGGAAATCTGTGCCGATAAATCGGTGCACCCCTAGAATTCACCGCTGCCCCAAAAGAGTCTGCTGCTCGATTCTGTTGGTAGTAAAAATCTTTTAGGTATTTAAAGGTAGTAAATTCAAGTCTAGGAATCCCATATTAACCATGAAAAAGCCACCTGGAAAGTAAATTACATCTTTCTTGTGTTTTTGCATAATGCGCGCTGGTTTTATTTGAAAGTTAAGCTGCTTTTGTTGCCTCGGTTGCAGTAAAATTGATTTAAATGCTGCATCGTCTTGCCAAAGCGTTCATACCCCTGGAACCTTTCCACTTTTAATCATCTCACAACCACTAACTTACATGTAGGCCATTTGGGTTTTTATGCGATAGACCATCACAAATCAGTGCGTAGCGCTGAAGCAGAAGAAGATGAAGAAGTTTTATTTGTCACGCTACAAATAGCATTGTAAAAACTGCAATGTGTTTACCGCCTCATTTAAATAAAATTCAGTGAAATTCAGTTGGGAATGAGTAAACTGAGCTCTGTGTAGGTTAAGATCACAGAACTTCTTCTTCTACCTCAGAGAAACAAACCACATTGTGGAAACACCAGACAAGTCAGGGAGACAGATGTATAGAAAGTTAAAGCGGAGTCATGTTGGTGTAGCAACCTTGAGCATCTCATGAAATACTTATCCGTTCCCTAAATGTAGATGATTGCACGACTGCAAACCTTCCCAGGCTTGGAAACCAAAGCGGAGGTGAACCATGATGTAAATAAGCCACAGAGGGGACACCGCTAGCATGGAAGAGCGTGTTCTGGTCCAATGGAAGCAGGACTTAATTTTTTTCCCCTATAAAGTCGAAACCACCCTGGACACAACAATCCCATAATTAGGCCTTGCTTCTTTACAGCACTTCATGTGGTGTTTATTAGCAAGGCCAACAGAGAGTTGGTTTTTCTTCTGTAAGTTGAAGACAAGAGACAGGAAGTGATCTAACAGTACAGTCTGTTGTCCAGACAAACACCAAGGTATTTATATTCCTCAAACACCTTCACTTCTTCTCCCATGACGCCATTGTCTTCATGACACACACACTCACACACACCCATGCCGACAAGGTATAAATAGATATACGTAGCTAACATCGGTGCAGTTTCACTTATTGGAACTATTTTGATATGTTGAAAAAAGGACAGACAGGCTGATACTGACATCACTGTTACAATCTCTAAAACTACATATCCATTTTCTTCCATGGCTGTGTGATACTTTGTGTTGCTCTTTCACATGAAACCTCAATAAAATACATTAAAGTTTGTGGTTGAAACAGATTAAAACGGGAACCAGCTTGAGGGAAAGTTTTGAAGCACTTTGTGTGGTGTTGAATTGTTTGCCACCAGATTTGTTGTTTTCCTTTGTATGGTCATGGAGCCCACACTCTGGAGGAGCGTGTGCGTCGCCGTCTCTCGGTCTTTTGTGACATGCCTCACATTTTAGCTGGAGGAGAGCCGGTCTCATTTTTCGCAAACCTGAGCTCGTTGTTAACGGTAATCAGATCCACTTGGGAAAGTGAATGAAGTGAATCCACAGTGTGAGTGTGTGTATTTCGCCATCACTGTGTTTTTGGGTTTTTTTTCTTTCTTGCTTTTGCACAGAATACTTTGACATGTTTAACTCTAGCATTTTAAACAGTTTCTGGATGTTACAAAAGAGAAATGTGATCTTTGCTGATTCCTTCTGAACACAATTTTCTAAGTACTATTTAAAAGCAGGTCAGTGCTCACAGGGTCGTTTTACCCCTAATCTTAACCTGAAATCTGTTTGAACAGATTCAATTTCCATTTACACCCCAACAAAGCAAATAAAATAAAGTGTCCCTTATCAGCGCTGCTGGGTGTTTACAGATCAATAATGCAGCGTCACAACTGAGCTGCTCAGCAAACCTACAATTAAGGAGATACGATTTCCTACATCTGTTCAATCCCTTCCCCAAAATAAAACAGCTTGTCCTGCTTTAAAGTGGAAAAAGAAGCTTCCAGAGAGCAAACAAGGATGTCAGGATATTCAGATTTTCTAGACTAGTGTATTTATTTCATCATTGGTCCGAAAGGCTGCAAGGTTTAGCTCTGAAAATCTTCATATTGCTGCAGAAACTTCACACTGGGCCTCAAGTAATTTCCATTTTGTGGCCTTCCACTCTTTTTCCAGGTCTTAATTGTCCAATAAGATGAATAATAAGTCCTGAAAATAAGTTTTTAGGCCAACAAGATTCTGTCCAGTCTTTTTTCTTGTTGGAAAAGGTAAAAACCGCTGGAGCTGTCTATGGTTAAGAAGAGGCTTAACCAAAAGAAATATCCTGGATATGCGCTCTTGACGCACAGACTTTCCCACACTTTTTCCATCCACTAAACTTTCCACGGATATGCTTAGACATGGCAGTCTGAGTACAGCCAGCTCCTTTGGTAATGATCTCAAGTGTTTATTCTCCTTGTGACGAGCATCACTACCCGCCTGCTGGAAACCTGGAGTCAGCAGCCTTTCTCTGACTCTGTAACCAACAACACACCCATTACATGACAGCACAGTGTGAAGAAATTCTGCTTTTAAAGAGGTGTGTGACATATTCTAAAATCCAGAGAACCTTAATGTCGAGGGGGGATAAAGATCCCAGAGCTGAGTGGAAGAGTCAGGAGAAGCAAAATTCAAACTGGTTAAATGCGATGTGTCTGTTCTGAGGAGCCAGACACATACTTTCAGTGAGATTGATTACTTTGATGCCCTGGCAGTGAAATTTAGATTTTTACGACGAATCAAGTGTCTTCATGCCATGCAATGTTTCAGATTCGGGGTCTTTAATAACGACCAGGTTGCTGTGAGTGTGCAGCAGCTTGTTTTTCCGCTGCTGCTGCGTCAGGAGGAGGAGGGGGGGGGGGACTGCGGCGCAGCTTCTGGCTGCAGGATGGCGGGACAGCGGCGCCAAGGATGCGGCATGGACTGGAGAAAAGTTTAGGAACGCCGCACGTCGCAGGGCGTCATGCGTGGCGCAAGAAGAGAAGCGAAAAGAAACGCACAGCCGCCGCAGCCCGCGACACGTCGGCTCCCGTCTGCGCCCTCCGATGCACCGGCCGCGAATAATCAGCGCACACTGACCGGCCTCTGCATCAACCGGTCCGCCTCCTCCGTCGCTCCACCTGCATGAACCGCGAGCCAGGTGAAGGGTCAGCGTAAACACGAGCTGTGGGTGTGGCGCCACTTCCGGAGCATGCAATGAGGGCTGCATGTATACATTTGAGCGAGACGGAGGTGAAGTGGTGAGACGGCTCTTGGGTTCACAGCAGGGGGGACGCGGGCTGCAGCTGGTCCTGTTGCAGAGGAGACGACCGGAGGGGGGGAGTCCCCACCGACCGAGGTGAGTCACAAACCCCTTCTTATATAGCTATGTTCAATATAAAGATCAATTGTTATTTTTGATTTGCTTCTATTGAACTAAGCCGTCGGTCTGGGATTTATCCACCATTTGTTGCCCACAATCTTCCTTTTTGCAAACAACAGTAGATGCTTTTCTTTTTGGTCTTTAGCTCATGTTTAGTCTTTATCCAGGAATTTGGCCAAATCCTTTGTTAAATTCCTTTGTAATTCAAGCCTTCACCCCCATTTCTCTTAAAAAAAACAAACAAAAATAAGAAACAAAATCAAACACTCAGGTAAGTAGGCACACTTTCACCTGTCAGCCCCTCCCTCCTTCTACAGTGACAGGAGCTGTATATACTCACCTCTGCACAAGTTTAGTTGGAAAATATAAAATGAACATATCTTCCTTCCAACATTTGTAAGCACTTGATTCCAGAGCAGAAAGTGTTATAGGTGCAAGCAAAGCTTAGAAAAACACGTTCAGTCGTCTGATTGTCTGGGGAAAATTGCTTGTGTTTCCTGAGTGAAATGGTAAACTCAAGCCGGGGTGATAAGTGATGACACTTTTCAGGTCATGTGGGAGCTGTGAGCGTAATTTCATTGGCGTTTTTCCTGTAGTCTGGTCAGTGTTCAGGGCACTGCTGTTTGTTGTTTCAGAGGTTCTGATGTTGGGAATTTGGGCACCACTTCCAGTCAAACTCATCACAGCCTCTGTGTTTATATCTGCCCTGAACTGTCTGAACTTTTGATTGTTGTGCATTTTAAGATTCTTAGATTTCATGATTTCTGTATTAAGACGACAGATGTATTGATTTAGCCGTATAATTTGTTTCCTGAAATCTTGCGGTCATTAGTGTTGGGAAGGGGGTCAGACTCATTGTGAATATGCCAATAAGTTTCAACGGAAAACTATCATTGATTGATCTGTCGATTGATTTCCATTTATTGTCTCTGACAACATCACAGACTTGCGTAGCAGAAGTGATTGGTGGGTTATAAACAAATTAAACTATAAGGCTCACCTATTGCACAACTAATAGTTGCGGTTATTTTTCTCAGTTCTTTTAAAGCCTAACTAAATGTGATTTTTTTTTTCAAAGATACTTAAATCACGTCGAAGTTATAATGAAGTTGACGTCTTTCTTTGGTCAACTTAAAATAATCTTTATCCACAAGGCAAACCAAAAATGATTTTGTCTCAAGAAAACTGGAAGCGCAGGCCAACCCGTATTTTCGTCCCGCTTGTATTTGGATGCTCAAATGCACACAGTACATTCTACATGGCTCATGTAATTTTAACACGTGTTTCTATTTGTCACATTGTGGAGTGTTACTCCCATATTAACTTCAAACATTATTTTGCAGTCAGAACTTACGCTACAGTTCCAACTTTAAAATCTTTTCACTTTTCATTTCCCTTCACTTGTTTAAACCTGACCTCTGTCTGCTCACTCCCCAGCTGGCAGGATGAACTTCAAAAACATGCGGGAGCACCTGGCCTGGCTGTACTACCAGTACCTGCTCATCACCGGCATCTACGTCCTGGAGCCGTGGGAGAAGTCCATCTTTAACTCTGTCCTCTTCTCCGCCATCGCCATGGTGGTCTACACCTCCTACGTGTTCGTGCCCATCCACGTGCGTCTGGCTCTGGAGTTTTTCTCCGAGATCATCAACGGCCAACCGGAGAGCGCCATGGCGCTAATGAACTAAAACGGAGGAGGAGAGTGGAGGGAAAAGACTCAAAAAGAAAAAGAAGAAGGGGCAGCTCGCAACTGTGACCTTAAGCCTCTCACTTCTTCACCCGAACCACAAACCGGACACTTCATCGACACTGAAAACATGGAGATCTTGCCGGAATCATCTGGAAGCCTTACTCACTTCTTTTGGATCTCGTGCTCTCTGGCCTTACCCGATGGTATTACACAACAGTGCTTTAATTTCCTGCGCTATTGAAATGTTTGCTTTTCCTTTTCCTCGCTATATGTCCTGTTTGAGTGCATCCCACCTCCGGGTTTTGCATGACAGGTCCTTACATGACAGGTAGATTTGCACGCTTGACAAACAACAAAGCACAACCGTCTCTTTTTCTTCCTCTGGATGCATAAGTCAAGAAGGTTTTCCGGTCGTTCTGATTTTTAGCTTAATAAGACCTGGACATCATGGAAGAAATTATATTTTTTTAGAACAGTAAAGATTCTGAAACTTTTTGTCAACTTTTCTTTCTTTTTTTCTAAATTTGGTTGTGTTTGAAATGACGAATGCAATATATGCCACGCCTCACATGTAACGGCACCCTGCATAAAGTCATATAAAAAGCCTTAGAATATTTTAATCTTTTACCGCAGTAACACAACCTTTCACAAAACACGGAGAAAGCCAACTTTTAATTTGAGAACATTTAAGAGGCGAAAAAAAGATCAACCTAGAAAAACTTTCAACGTTGTTTATTTGAGCAGTTTTTTTTTTAAAAAATCATACTTTTTTAAGTTGATCAGAGTGTCCGATCATGTTTTTCGTCTGTTTCTTATCCACTATTCAAAATGGGAAAGATTAGAAACCTTACACTTAAAAAAAACAACTCCAGGAATCAATTTCGTTTCCTCTATTGCTGCATTTTCTAGCACCAAGGTAGCATTTGTGTCTTCATCAGATATTTATGTTAGTATGACCTGACCTGACACACAGAGCCTTATTTCTTTATCCATCCCTCAGGCAAGATGTCTTGCAACACAAGTATGGCAAACGTGTGTTGAGCTTCATATATTAGCAATAATGAAACAGCTGCTTGCCTGTTCTTCCACAGATCTTCAAAGTTTCAAGCAGCTGGAACTGTGGTGAATGAAGTCATAGGGAGACAAAGGTTCAATTTTAAAGTTTAGCATCACTACTTGGAAAAAAAAAAAAGAAGCGAGAGATGATATCTCAATAAAACAAGTATACTTCAAAGGCCGGCCGGTGCCAATAAACATGGGACAGAAACCAGCTATAGCCAATGAAGCAGACAACAGAGACTCGCAGTTTATAAAGATGTACAATTTTCTCCACCTCTAATGGCAACAGACTGGCAGCGACGTATACGTCTGCACGCTTCAGAGGGATAAAAACACCTGGAGGTCGGTTGTATGACGAGTCGAGACCCGTGGCGACACACGGCCGTTGTTCTCGAACGTTTGTGTTGACACGTCACACCTGAAGACTCACTGCTTTCTGATTAAAACGGGAGGCAGAGCAGAGTTTATCACAGCTATATTGACATGCACCAAATACTGTTTTTAATTATGCTTGAGAAAATGGAAAGGGGAAAACTTTTTTTTGAGTTTCCTTTATGCACTGAAAAGCAAGCTGAAAGCATGCAGCGCAGAAGACACAATATTAGAAGAGAGAGCTTCAGCTATGCAATGGATGTAAACCTATTCGTTGCATCTGTCTGTTTAGGTATGTGCCGATCAAAAGGAGCAATAAAACGAGCCGAGCCCTCTCTTTATCTCGTTTTTTTTTTTTTTATACGATGGCATGTCGGAAAGGTGTGCTGAGCATTGAACGGGGAACAAATATTGATCTAACGCTCCTCCATGTCCAGGCTTGGCCTTGTCCGTGGCATAGTTATTTGCTGTGTCACGCAGCTGGAAAATTAGTCGGAAGGAAAAAAAGAATAGTCTTCCTCGGCTGCAGTTGATCAATGGATCGGATAGATTGGCTTTAATTATTTGTGCTGTGGATCAAGGGCTCACTGAGGACGTGCTAATTTTATTTACTTATGTGTTTATGTTCATTGGTAAATGCTTGGCTGGTTACAATGTCAGTTACCAAACTTTTTATTGCCCAATTATTTATGTTGAAGTCTCTTGTAGGCCATGATTACTGCATTGTTTGTTCTTTTACCTCTGCCTTAACAAGCTTTTTGTATTATTCCCAGTTTGTATTATGTTCCCTTGACTTTTGATAAACATTTCCACCAATGTGACACATTGTCCAGCAAGAATGAAGAGGCCTCTAAGATGCTATTTTTTTTTTTCTTTCACAGTTTACCAAACTGAATGTTGTATTTCTACATGATAGCCACAACATCACTGTAGTAATCGCAAAAATAAAGGCATCGGATGACACCTGTGCAGTCGCTCTCTGTCTCTTTTTCGTGCCTGCTGTTTTTGCCACAGCTGTTGGGAACAGTTTGAGGCACATGTTCACGTTGGATGTGGCGTCAGCTGCTTTGAAACAGAAGAAAGCCGAACAAAACCCGAGCTGAAACGCTTCACCACATGAGATGGATTCGGACAATGAGAGGACGAGCCATCCGACCAGTTCCTCCGAGCCGTGTTTGCCTCGGTGAATCGCACACCTGGTGAGCTGCCCGTCGCCACAAAGCTCTGGTGTCCTCAGGCCGCGGTTTTTGTTTGACCCATTATGAAGTATGTAACTCTTGGCTGACACAAATGGACACTCCTCCAGCCCACTTTCCAAATGCGGTACCAAGAAAAGTAACGAGACCCACAACTTTTACAATTTTGCTACGTTACAAAAACATACACTGAACAACAATATAAAGGCCCCATATCAAATATGAGAGTCTGATGAACATTTGGGTTTTGCAACATATAGAGAAACTCAGAATATATTTTCAGTCATTACTGATCTTCATATCGGCATTGATAACATGGTTTGACCATTTGTAGCGAATTGACAGTCCTCTGAAGATGATAGGAGTCAGGCAGATGAATTAGATTGTGACCAAGTCGGCGTCTCGTAGGCGGGTACAGTCAATAGTCTCATCAGCTGCGTGTGTGTCGCTGGTCTTAGCCGATCCCGCAGATGGAGGAGCTGGATGTGGCGATCTTGTGCTGGAGAGGTCACATATGACCACAACTCACGGAAATGCTCACTGATAAGTTGGATTCAAAATTATACACAAATAAAAAGAAATGCTACTTTTGTGCAATAAAATGTCAGCAAATGCTCATTTACAGTTGTTAACTTCACATGGCAATGATATTTGACATGGGGCTTTTGTGTTTTTGTTCACTGTAAATTTGACAAATTTACAGTATTTATGCAATAGTGCAACACACATGTACTGCATAATCGTGGTTACAGGAAAACATTTTTTTTCCTACATATTTTCCAAACAAAAATTGAAATAATATGGAGTTTATTGGGTGTTGAGCCCATTTAGAGACTGAAACGTACAATATGGTTCGGGTATTGATACCTGATATTTCACAATTTTGGTCATTTTTAAAAAAATTAAAATGGCAAAAAAAATTAAATTAGATTTAGGTGTCGGATTTGACTGGCCATTCTAGGACAGGAATACATTTTGATCCAAACCATTCTATTATCGGTCTCGTCTGGCTAAGGTGAACTTTGCCCCCGGTGTTTCACGTCTTAGCTAAGATTCTACCACCTGAGTTGCAGATCTCTGCAGCTACCCCAAAGTTATCCTGGACTACTTCTTTAATTGATGCTGCCATAACAGTAGTTTAAACTTATTTGTAACTTCATCTGACCTGTCTGGATACAGGCAGTACGGAGTAACCTCTATAGTTGTACTGTGATCAAATTACACACACACACACACCCACACCCACACACACACACACACACACACACACACACACACACACCACACACACACACACACACACACACGCACGCACGCACGCACGCACACACGCACGCACGCACGCACGCACACACAAACACACACACACACACACACACACACACACACACATACATACACACACACACACACACACACACACACACACAAGTGTTTAAGTGACCTCTGAAACTCACTGGCTGCACTGCTACACATAATAAAGGTGAATGAACGCAACTGCATGCCTCATTTATTTAGATCTATTTTTTAAATGTACAAAAACATGAAAAATTCCAATAAAAGTGTTGTGATTGCTTTTTCAGGGCACTTTACTTGTAATGCACATTTATTCAACATGAGGTCGAGGATAGAGGCTTGAGCCGCAGCTTACTTGTGGTAACCCAGGTTGCTGTGTTTATGAGTTGTAACCGAACACCTTCACCTTGTATTTTTCCAGGATGTTGGAAGGGAATAGGTGCAACACTCTCAGTTGTCATCCCCACACATTATAGCCCAACCAAAATGTCACCGTAAACCTCTTTCCTCCTTATTTCTTTTCCTCCTTATTTCTTTCCTTTCCTGACGTCTTAGTTGGTTTTCACTGTTCTTCGTCATAATAAGAGGAGGTTTTTTCCCGCTCTGTGTCGTCTGCGCGGCATTACGCTCCTTGGTCTTTGAGGAGCAGCTTTGGCGTTGACACCGACTGTGTGAGTTTATGCCCCATGAACAAAGGGGTTAGAGGTGTAAACAAAGCTGCCCCCAGGCTCCTAAACACTCTCGGAGATGGTTGGTGTCTTCTTTCTGCTGTGTTTACGCGTGGCCTGTTAGTGTTGTTCACCCAAACAATAGGAAAAGGTGCTGAGATGGGAGGGAGACATACTTCAGTAATGTTCACACACAGCACACCCGACACAAAGGAAAGCACACATCTTGTGTGTTTTTCTTGGCTTTGTCGCCACAATCAAGACTCGGTTTACGACAATAGCCCAGTTAGAGTTTAAGAGTTGATATAATGTGTGGTTTATAGAACTAGAAAATTATTGCTGCACACAGAGAGAATTACTTTAGCAGCAGCCTGCCTGCCAAAAACTGTGGAGGTAGGTCAAAGTTCATCGCTGGTGAGGGAAGCTAACACACTTGTTCTGTAAGATGAATCATGAGAATTGATGTCACACATTCAGCGATCTGAAAATGTGTTTGCCTTGATGAGATGAAATCTTTGGACCGACCCAAAGGGGTTCCATAAGGTGCCGTTCTCGGGTCTGACTTTTGAATCCTGGAATAATCCGAATGCATCGTGCCTGGTTCTAAATGTTCGAGTGCATAAAGAGGACAGAGTGTTGCGTTTACAAGCCTTGAATGTAAGTTAATCATGTAACACAATCGCAAGATCGACGTTATCAACAAGTAACATTTCTCTTCTTCAATTTACACTGGGAAGGCAGCTGGTGATATGCACCAGCTCTTAACACAACATGAAGACCATACAACATACACACACACACGCACGCACGCGCACACACACGCACACACACACACACGCACACACACACACACACACACCCGCGCACACACAAACACACACACACACACCCGCGCGCACACGCCCACACACACACACACACCCGCACGCACACGCACACACAAACACACACACACCCGCACGCACACGCACACACACACACACACACACCACACACGCACACACATTTCTCTAGATACACTTAGTTTTGCCAATGGCTCCTTCTGCCTTTTCCTTGTATTAGGAAAAGGGGCAAACAAGCACCAGATAATAAAATACAACTAATGTCATTTGTGCCCTTAGCAGGTTTTCTATTGCTAATATGCAACAAGTTTTTCCTGCAGCTGATAGTCGGAGGACTAGGCTAAGTGCTTTCACTGGGACTGTGCCGCATTTTATCCTCCCCAGAATCTCAGCTTGCATTTTAATTGGAGTCCCCTTGGGCATGTTTTTTTTTTAAATCTGCCACTGGTTGCATTCATTAGGCGTTACATTGTGTATCTTTAATATCTGCACATCTTATCTGATTTGAATGTAAAATAGGATCTGCCACTGTGTGTCTGAGACAAGAGGTCCAATCCAGGTCCAGACATGTGAATATTTTAGTTATCAACACTTGCATGTGGCAAAATGCCCCAACTATGAAGTTTACTTCATTCGTTCAGTTCATTTCACTTGACAAATGAAGTAAAATCAGTCCTGTAATCCTGTAATCATGGGGCTGCTGCTTTGAGCATTAGTATAATTTGGCCCGAACAGCAGAGCGCTGCGAAGGCCTATTGTAATTCTACTGTTTGTTATCTGCCCCCCTAAAGAGGTGACTTTTTAGAGGCTTTATCATATTCAAAAACTCACCAAATTTGGCAGATGTGTCAAGTCTGCGAAAAAATGTATGCATTTTAAAGTGTCAGGGCCATGTGCGCTGTTTGGGATTCAGTCTGGTGCGGTCAACATGTGTTTTGAAAGTTTTCATCTGCAATCCCTTGACAAGAGGTATGCACTACCACAGGAATAGAAATGGGCAGTGCCCGGTTCTTCCTCAGCGTTACGTCTATTCACGGGGCTTGCTTTGAGCGAGCACTGTTTGCACGGCTGGGTGTGTTTGTCTGAGTCTGTTGTTATAGAGTTTTAGGACGGAGCTTGAGCAAACGCAGGCTTTTGACACACAGAAAGTATAAATGTATACAAAATGACGGCCTTTTATTAGCTCTCCAAACTACAATGAGGACGTACCTCCTGTTTGTTTTATTTGTATGTGTGCGTGGGCGTGCGCGTGTGTGTGTGTGTGTTTGTTTTTATTGTTTGAACTGAATATTATGGACATTGATTACATTTTACACACACACGGACTATTGAAACTGCAGAATATTATCGTACAACTGAGGTTTTCTGTGGTTTGACAACAGCTATTGTTTCATGCATCCAAATGATTTCTTTCTTCTTTTCTGTACCAATGTTTGATGTGTGGTGACTTTAAGAGACGTTGTGCAATTATTGACATTTTTTTACAGATCAAAGATAGACGAGAAATCCACGGCATGACACGCCTCACGTTTGATCCATGAACAAGTTGAATAATGTGACCAGAGGCGATAAAAACCCAAAGACTGGGTGGGACTGAGTCAATACTTTTTCAATTAAGATGGAAATGTTTGTAGTCGACTCTGTGGTCTAAAAGTGAGGCCTGATAAAGACTGACCGGTTTGTAATTCGTAAATATTTGTAAAGCTAATATCAGTATATCAGTTCCAACCCTAACCATAACCCCGGCCCCTTTTGGGGCTCAAACCAGATTCATTGCAAGCCAAAAATCCATCTAAAAAGAAAAAAGAAAGTCTGCCACCAAGTGGACATGCAAAGAAATAGTAGTTTTTGACTGTCCTTGTGGTACCTTATTGCTCGGGTGTTAAATTTCCCACAAAAGTACACCATAACTAAATTAAGATGAGAGGACTTTAAAGTGGTTTATAGGAATAAGGCCTTAAGTAATAATTGAAAAATAAATAAATTATTAAAACAGGAAATGTCCCAGCCTGAGCAAGCTGCTGTGAAGGAATGTTTGACTGATTCCCAAGAATTTTACTGTGAAACTCACCAAGGCAGGGAGGGACGAGAAGTTGATACCAGACCTTTCTGGTCCTTCTGAGGTTCATCCAGTTTGTTAGGCAGACTAAAGCTTACCACTGGGGGCTGGGGGTATTAATAGGCTTGTTCCTTAAGATTAGTAGTGGAAAGGTGAAGGCAAAAAAAAAAAAAAAAGAAAGAAAAGTGGATAAAACAGCTGAAAAAGTCTTTGAAAATATTTCATTTAACGTCTTTCACTGGGAGCTGCAGAGGTCGTTCACAAGGTCCTGTTCTCTGACCAATTTTTTACATTTCATTTTTCAAATGGACTCAGATCTAAATGCTCACGCATCAGAATGACGTCATTGTTACACAGATCTAAAATGTCATCTTTACTATCTCTACAGTATCAAGTTCCAGAAAGTATTTTTTACACCTATTTTGTTAATAGATATTTCTACAATAATTAACATCTCAGACATACCTTATTAACATCTCTCAATAAAATGGACTCACCTAACAACCCATACATATTTGTGCATGTAGTACATTTGGTTTGCAAAGTGGGAAAAATTCATTTTTGTATTTGCACATCTGAATCAAAGTGCTTTAGGAAGCACCGGAGATGCTTGTAGATGAAAACATTGTGATAGAAGAGCAAACTACAACTGGTAATTGTCCAAAGGGATAAATTACCACATCATAAAATCTCAGCAAGGAACAAATAAGAAAAAAAAAAAATACAATTTTAATGGTTAGCAAGATATAAGTGACAATCCTAGTTTTTTAGTTTTTATTTGCTTCTTTGTTTTTTTAAATATGTCTAAATCTTTCTCTAACTTTCTCCTCACACGTTCGCAGCAGCTTGAGGATCTTTACACGCTGAGGGTTAATGTAAGTTAATACGCCTCCGTCCAGCTAAGACTTCTTTGGTCCTTTCTGCTCGACTGCACTGGTAACTAAACTCCTTCCTGTCTCTGTCCCTTTAGGGTGCGTGTGCACAGATTTAAGAAGCTTTGGTGAACTGTTTTAAAGAAGCAGAAGTCAATCAGTTTCGTTGAAACAAATTATAGATGAAAAAAAAGGGAATAAGGACATTTTATCCATTGATCAAAGACGATGAAACGACACAAAATCTGTTTCTTACAAATGTATTTGATTAAAATAAACAAGGTCCAAACTAAAAAAAATATGAAGACTAACAGCTTCTTAAAGGAACTGTTATTAAAACTTTGTGAGCTTCTCGACATTTTGAAGCTGCCTACAAAAATGTCTTTTACAGATTTGTTAAAACTGGCACCACGGTCCTCAAGTGAGACAAATAAGCTGCACCCAGTGGTCCTACCGCCATCTGCAGAAAAACGCAGATGGCAACAAATCAGGGTCAGGAGAAGGGCTTCAGTGCAGTTGGTCTCTCTCGCATACTTGCTTTACTGAGGTTAATTTTCTCAAAAGTCAACTGTTCAAACCAACATAATCCACTAAACCTTCACAGACATGTCACAACACAAACTATTTTATATGTCCTCTTTGTAGCACTTTTTAACATTTGTTCACAATAAACCTTCTTGATGTGCAGTCCTGAAAGCCACTAATAAATAACATGCATTATTGTTATAAAATGTATTTTGTCTGATATTTACATTTATCTGATGATCAGTTAAATTTCGATATTCACAACAAATATCGTCTTGAGGTACTCTGCTGAAAAAGTGATTTCAATTCAATCATATACCGATTGTTATTTGTAGTTTCCATCCTACCCAGCATATTTTGTAGACTTGTTGACTTGCAGCATTCACTCCTCCTGGACAATGTAGCAACAGCAGACAGTCGATTGTGTTGGGTCGTTGACTTTACAGCAGTCTCTCATACCGAGCATGCATGTAGTGTCAGAGGAGATGAAAAACGTCCACGTAATAGGAAGAAACCTCCAGGAGAACCAGAAGAAGGATGTGAGAAAAAGTCATCAGTTTTTCCTCCAGCAACCTAAGCCTATAGCAGTATAACTACGGAGATTGCTCAGGATAATCGAAGTCAGCCTACGATCAGAAACAATTAAGAGCCAAAAAAAGCAAAAATAACATTTTCCAGGGATGGTACTGACAGCATCTAAACAAGCAGACTTTTGATCATAGCTTCGTTGCAAGGTTACAGAAACTTTGCTGCTGTTTTGAGGCACCTCCTGTGCCAATGGCACTGGATAAAAAGTTGTTGTGTCCACCTGTAAGAACCCATCCAGGACATTCTCAATCTGCTAGTAGGAAACAGCTGACTGTGGAATTGAATTTGTTGTTGGAGAGTTCACATCAGCTGCTTGGAGATGCAAAGTGTTTGGACAAATCATGCTTCAAACAAACACAATCCTCTGCCTTCAGATACCGCTAACCCTCTCCATTTCCCCCAATTTCATTTCCCGTCTCCCTGCTCACTTTTAGCCGGTCACAGATCTCCCCAAGGACACGGGGTCTCCGGCAACCGAGGCATGACCACTTTTCAAACATTCTTTGTCACTGGTAAGTCAAGAGTTTCAGCTCGACAGCCACCTGAAAATCACTTTTCAACAAAAACCTGAGGCGATCTGGTTACGCCACAAGAATGACTCATTGTCCGGGCCTCACAATCGCAGCCACCCAGATGTCGCTGCCAGCAACCTTGAGAGTTCTTGTGCAGGAAGAAAAGAAGTCCGCCACAGTGATTAGGCGAGCACTGCAACTGCATTGATTTAAAAGGATAAGTGGGTTCGTTCGACAAACAGCTCAGGTTTTAGCAGCACCTCAGTGATTACGAGAGCTCTTTAGGCTAAAGCTTTCCTCTGGATTCCAACCAACCGCTGGTGAATTGAGATAATGAGCTCCCTGTGCTATGGTGCCAGTTTGCAATTATTGCACACTTTGTTGAGAATATTAGCTTGCAAGATTAGGATTAAGAATTCTGTGGCTGTCTGCATGTCCAAACCTGCGACTGAAGGAAAAAAAAAAGAAAAAAGCCACTGGGCTCTCTGTCTTAGACTCCTTTTTGCTTGGCTTTGTCCCACCTTAAGAGCCCGGTCTGAAGGAATGCCTCGCATATCGGGTGACCCATTGCCCCGACGGCCTCTGCTCCTTGCCCAGATCACGGGGAGGGAGTGCACCGTGCGGGTGCTGTATTCCGTGTCACAAAAGCACCTTTCTACACGACAGGGACACAGAGAATGGGCCACAGCACAGTGGTTCTTTTTGGGTCTCGGCCCACCATAGTGGGATTGCGGACCTCCCCCTTTTTTGCTTTACACACAAAAAACACCCACAGCCCCCATTGATGAGATGTTCTTTCACCCAAGCCTGGCAGAGGTAACAGAAGGACCTGCAGCTCCTGGTGTGGCAGACGAAACATCGCTAGAGAGGATAAATGACTTTACTACTCATACACATTTGGGTGAGTTCTCCTGTTGAGATTAGGTGTAGAAATTTGACAGAATGCTAAAGAAAGTAAATCTCTTATAAAAAAAAAAGGAACAGGACACAAGATTGAGTTGACTTGCATGCATAAACACATTAATCTGGAAATAGCAATCTAGTTAGGAAAGACAATCAGCAAGCTTTTGTTAATTATGGACAAGCCATGACCAGCTGTCCTGCAGTCATCCTGATGGGATTTCAAAGTCATCTTTTTCTTGGCTGTGGTTTTACTCCTCTTTTGTTCAGTTCTTAATCCCAAGCAGAAACTGTTGGGTTTCTAAACACATCTGAGCAATGCGCCAGGTTTGATCCAATTTCAGAAATCAACTTGGACCTAAAAAGCAGTAATTTACCTGTTAACAGTTGTCATTTTGGATATTTCCCGTTAACCCAACTAACTAAAAGCAAACAAAGTATGATAATCCCTTGAATTTCAAGGCCTTTCATGTACTGTGAGGTTTAGCGAGTTAAAACTCATTTCAAGAGTTTTTCATATGCAATGTGACACAAAATGTATACAATCAACCGACTTGTTCATATTTATTGGAGGAATTTCTTTTATTTGTATATATAAATTTGTAATAACCAGGTTACATAAATGTGTGAATAACTTTGAATCAGTAATGCAGACGTTATTTTCATCCTATATTTGAGTCACAATTTGCAAAAGCTCAAAAGCTCTGAAAGTCAATGGAAAGTCCCCACAAAGGTATCAGTCAGGAGGAGAGTAACAGCAAGTCCACAGTAAGCGCAAAGGCACAGTTAGCACAATTGAAGAAATTAAGAGACAAAATAGATATAGCAAAAATGTAATTGTTACAGTACTGATAAAAACAAAAGATCCAACCTGGTCATGAAGGCTGCAAAGAGACCAGGAGAAACATTTTCAAAGAAGCTGCAGGAATTCTCAACATACACTGGTTATCCTCTTACCAGTGGAATACTTTCCTGTTTTCTTGTGAAGAAGGGAACCGGAGAACCAACCTAGAACCAGCTTTAAATGAAGCATGTTTGGCACATAAGAGGGACAAATATACCCACATTTAAAGATGCAGCATTATGCTCTGGGCTTACTTAGACTTTGGATCTAGGAGCCTTTTTCCTACAAATTTGATAAGACTTCTGAAAACTTTGGTCTTACGGGTCTTTTTCAATTTTTTAAAAATTTGCCATAAATGATAGGGTCCTGAGTTACATTATATTCATAATCCAAAAGAAAACAAGGTCATTGATTACTCATTAATATTCATGGACACTCACCAACTTAGAAACTTAAATTTCTTTCGTGTTTATTTTCTTATGGTTGCCAATATCAGTCACACTGCGTTTATCTCTTATGTGAGCTTTTCCTCACCAAATAAATGCAAAGAAATTAGGTCTGAAAATAGTTTGAGATTAACCTAAAGTAATAAAAGCTCAATTTATTCAATCTCTGCCCACGCTGAGGGATGCTGTATAAGTGCTACAACTGACCTGAGGTCTGACTTGAGATCTTTGTGTTGTTGTGTTCTGATACATTGTCAGATCCCAGTCAACAATGAGGATTATCTCCTGCCAGTGGACGCTTGTGGCTATAGCTGTGGTTTCAATCACTGTGGTATTCTGCAGTAAGACCAAACCAACAGCGAAACCAAAGTACCTGTACACAAAGAAGCCCGTTCCACACGTCACGCCGCACAACCCTGTCACTACCACTGTCCCCAAGACTCTGAAGATAGTGGTGACGCAAAACCCCGTGCAGCCTCAGCCGCAGCCGCCACCTCCACCGCAGCCCACCACAGCGAGGACCACCTACGTGAACCACAAACTTCCACAGCACTACAGTGAAAACACTGAGCCCACAGGTGTTGGTCCTGACAACTACACGCTGGACTACAACGAGTGCTACTTCAACTTCTGTGAATGCTGTCCCCCTGAGAGGGGCCCCAGGGGCTCGAAGGGAGAAAGAGGCTCAGCAGGTATCAAACTAAATGATGGTGTAAAAGCTATTATATTACATGAAAGCACTTGCGTGTGTTGCTGCGTTTGCTTGTAATCCCTTGTTTCATTTTCCTGACACATACTATTTTGTGGGGACCCACTGCTCCTTGTGGGGACGGAAGACTGGTCCCCACAAGGGGAAATGCTGGTTTTGGGTCAGGGGTCAGATTTAGGACTAAAGTGTGAATTGAGTTTTGGTTAGGGTTAGGTATATAATGGTTAGGGTTAGGATAAGGTTGAGGCTGTAGAAATGAATGGAAGTCAATGGAAAGTCCCCACAAAAATAGCCATGCAAATGTGTGTGTGTGTGTGTGTGTGTGTGTGTGTGTGGGTGTGTGTGTGTTGTGTGTGTGTGTGTGTGTGTGTGTGTGTGTGTGTGTGTGTGTGTGTGTGTGTGTGTATAACTTCAGGTAATTATTTTCTCTTTTCTAGGACTACCTGGTGATATAGGGCCTGCAGGACCACAGGGTATACCCGGACCACCTGGCATGAGCGGTCCAATGGGCTATAAAGGAGATAAAGGTATATAGATTAAAATAAAGCAAAATTTATTGTGACAACATGCCTCATGATAGAAATAATACAATATGTTTTATTAACTAATATAAGGGCATTTTATTCGTAAGGTCACTTCACAGATTGAGCACAAGACAAAACAAAAAATTAAATTTAAAACAGAAAAAAAATGCAAAGAATATCAAAAGAGGGAAAAAAGCTAAAATCAGGCACGTTACAGTGCTTCCAAGAAAAATAGTGGATGACTGCGATTTTCTTTCACCAATAAAATTCTCCATCCTGAATACTTTCCAGTCTTCCTGAACAAATACTTTGTAGAACCACTTTTCCCTGCAGCTGCTGTGGCAAGTATTTTGAGGTATGTCGCTACCAAGTTTTCATACATAAAGATTGAAAGTTATGAAAATTCTCCTTTGCAAAACAGCTCAACCTCATTCTGACTGGATGAACAGCATCTCACACAAACATCAATGGAAGAAGAAAGGTAGTAAGAGCTGAGTCGAGAGAAGGTAAAGCTGGGTGTCTTTTGCAGAGAAATGATAGCTGACACTGAATTTACAGAAGATATGGCCAGAAGGAAGGAGGCACATGTGACCAAAGATAGAACCTTGGGGAACACCAGTGGCAATTGACATTACTTTAAGGTTTTGATCTGGATCTACACAAATCCAGATCAATACAAATACAAATACAATCAAGGATTTCATCAGAGTACAATACAACACAATGTGCGAAAAATGTCACTTTCTTGTGAATACAAAATTGACCAATTGCTGATCAAGTAGAACTTGAAAGACAGTTCACAAAAACTTTAGTATTGGTGACACCAGAGGCTCAGTGTCTGTTGCTGTTTATATAGCATTCAAAAACAATCGATTTTGTACCTTACTTATTTAAATGAATCTTTCAGGGGATAAAGGTGAGAGAGGACACCCTGGAACATCAGGCCCACCAGGGATTCCAGGAAAACCAGCACAAAAAGGTATACAATTATTTAGGTGGCTGCTTTTATCTCAAATACTTGTGCATCGGATTTATCCTGACATCACTTTGAAACTTTTCAGGTGAAGCCGGCCTCAAAGGAGAAAAAGGTGACGTAGGATTACAAGGTGCCAAAGGTGAACAAGGAGAAAAAGGAGAACATGGGCAGAATGGAACTGCTGGTGAGAAAGGGGAACCGGGACCGGAAGGGCCTGTTGGACCTCCAGGAACAGCTATGGGCCAGGGTCCGAAAGGAGAAAAGGGAGATAAAGGAGACTGTGGTATTTTTGGGGAGAGAGGTCCTAAAGGTGACCGAGGGGAAACCGGGGCTCCCGGCATTCAGGGTGCGATGGGAATTCCAGGATTACATGGCAAACATGGCACCCCTGGGCCCGTCGGCATTAGAGGGGATCCAGGACACCCCGGGCCTCCAGGAGAGCCAGGAGTGTCAGGGCCACAGGGGCCGCAAGGGATACGAGGGATGCCCGGGCCAAAAGGGGACAGAGGGTACCCTGGCATCAGAGGTGAGCGTGGCTTTCGTGGATTAAAAGGAGCAAAAGGTTCGGGAATGCTTCCGAAACGCTCTGCCTTCAGTGTCGGCATCTCTCCAAAGAAATCCTTTCCTCCCTCCGGCTTCCCGATCCGCTTTGACAAGATATTCTACAACGAAGAAAACCACTTCAATACGAGCTCCAACAGCTTCATGTGCGTCCACCCCGGGGTTTATGTCTTCTCCTTCCACATCACTGTGCGTAACCAGCCTCTGCGAGCCACACTTGTGGTGAACGGGTTACGGAAAGTCAGGACACGGGACTCCCTATACGGCCAAGACATCGACCAGGCGTCCAGTCTGGTGGTGTTGAGACTGGCAGCCGGAGATCAGGTCTGGATGGAGACATTCAGAGACTGGAACGGGGTTTACGCCAGCAGCGAGGACGACAGCATCTTCTCCGGGTTCCTTCTGTACTCAGACAAAGCCTGAAGCCCCTTTCTGATTGCGACACACGGCCACTTCTCTCTTCTGCTGAACTGTTACAACCTCACCACATGGGTGAAAACACCAAATACTGAGGGTGCTACTCTGTAACTGTGAATTATTTGTCTGTAAGCTTATTATCATCAAACGTCTGGCTCAAATTCTCTCATTTAGAAATTTCTAAATAAACCAACCACTCATGACCTCAAGAGACAAATGTGCAGCCCTCAGCAAAACGGACAGCTGTAATAACAGGAAATCAAGATTTAAGACATAATATGGGACAGGAAGTGCAAAATGAATATATAAAAAGGAAAGTAAACACAACAGAAAAGGAAAAAACTAGTAAATATATAAGATAAAACTAATGTATATATAAATAAAGAGTTAATGTGAAAGAACTGCTTGTCAATAATGTATGTTGTGAGATTATATAATCTCACAAAAACATTCAAAAGTACAACTTTTAAGTTCATTTTGGGAACATGGACAAAAACCCCACTTAGAAATATTTGAAAAAATATTTTAAAATGTTTAATTCCTCCATGTCAGGCCTAACAATTTCTCTCTTCCCTCAGGTAAATGCTAACACACAATTAGCTTTCAAACACAAACAAAACAAAATAGTAATAATTGCTAAGGTTGTTTGGTCTTTCCAGAGACATGTAATTGAATTTTAAGCAGGGGTCTCATTGTCTGATGCTGCTGCAGGAACAGACAGCTCCTGAAGATTTCTCACCAGTGTGTGTCGGGTAATTGTGGTCTTTACAGATGAATTGTCGACTTAGTTCAGGGGCATCTTAGACTCAGGTTTTCGGAAAATGTTTTTATATTTACCCACTGTTATTTTAGGGTTAGGTTGTTTTTCCCTCTAGGTATGACGCTTGACGTTTAGATTTGGGTTCATCAGACCAAACAATTCATTTTCTTGATCTGTAAATCTCCAAGGTGTTTTTCAACAAAATTCAAAGGCCGACATGTCTGACTGCCACAAAGGATCGGTAGCTGGAGAATTAGCAATAGTTGATGTTCTAGATGTTTCCATCTCCACGTATGAAAACTGGGCCTCTGCCTAAGAAACGACAAGGTTCATGATTAACGTTTTGACCGATGCCCTTCTTCCCTCGGGATTCAGTTCAGAGTTTGCAACCAGAATCAGGAAGATTTTGGACCCAAGCTTCTTCCATGACCAAATACTATTGTTTAAAACACTTTTTGGGACGTCCAAAATCTGTGTTTTGACACGATTCAGTCTCTGAGATCCACAGACAATTTGACTTAATTGCTTGATGTCCCCTCCGATATGCACCGCGAGCAATGAAATCACATACAGACAAGTGCACACGATTTCAGATGACTTTACCATGGACGGACTCAAATCAAGTTGAAGAAGCATCTCCCTTATGTCACATTCAAGAATATTTGATGTTTCCACTGTTATTTTGTGCTAATTTATGTAGAAAACTACACTTTAATCAGTTGCAGAATATGTCTGTAACATAAATTGTGGAAAACACAAAGGAGTGTAAATACTTTCTGACAACAATGTAACTATCTTGACTGTCACAGCAAAAGAGAGTAAATAATATCTCTGTGATCTGCTATTATTTTTTCAAACTTTTATCTGATATATCTTTTTCTAGTGCAGAAGATTCTAATATCTATTGGCAAGTTAATCCCACATGTTTTCCAACATTTAAAGTGTTTGATGCGCTGTAGCATTGTAAAAAAGGTTAATTGAAAATAAAGTCAACTGTTCATGCAGCTTATTGAAAGCTTTATTGGGATAAAACAATGTTTGTTTTTCTTACTGTATTGAACATTAGTTTCATGACACTGTGAAGAATTAATAACATACACATAACTACAACAGCAGAACAGTAGAGTGGTGCTAATAATTGTTAGAAAGCCTCAGATTATTGCGCTGCTTGGTCCGATGGTTCGGTTTATAAGGAGTTTGCAGGTACAGCTACAGTTTTTCATAGTAAATATATTTCTAACAGTGCTATTGACATGAGATTTTCACCTGGTATTGATAACAACCCAAATAATCCATACGTGGAAGTTCAGTTGTGTGTCGTAATGTGAAAAGTACTGAAAGGGAGGTGGAAAAAAAGTCACGGAAAGCCAAGAAACCAGCTGAAATCTACCAGTGATTTGAAAACCATCCCGCCCCTCGTCAGGGTCAGTCCAAAATGACAGCCAATAGAAAGGTGAGTCGTTATCGAGGCTTCACAGAGGGACCAATTTATGATTGGTTAAAAACAAAGAACCGAGGTTGTTACCAACACCTGGCGAAAATTTCATATCAGTCACACCTTTTCAGGACTTTCTAAAATAGCCCCAATGACCCAGCCTGAGGTTCTGGGGTTTGCGTTTGGCCTGGCAGCTGGCCTGAGGTCGGCAGACTGGTTGAGACCGGAGACTCGGACGACGGCGAGGATGGGCTGGGACTCTCTGTGTGCTCAACGGAAGACGGTGCTGAGGCAAAGTATTTTGGGGATTCAGGCTGAGTCTCTGGAGCCGAGGAGGTGTGTGGGGGTGATCTGGATGTCATCTGAATTCTGTGATGAGGACGGGGAGGCATCAACGGTGGCCCTGTAGGGTCAAAGAGAAGGTCACCTTAGAAGTCCATCATGACTTCAAAGTGCTTTTTTCACCCCAAGTGTAATAATCAGTAGAGCAGATTTACTCTTAAGCACCTGCAACCTCTCCGAAGCGCTGGGGCTCGCTCCATCTCACGATATCCAGCTTTGGCACCTTGACTCTGCAGCTGTACCATCCTGCATCCTTTCTGATCAGCATGTGGTTCAGTGAGATTGATGGCCCCAACAGATTGTTGTTCTTGTAGAAATAGTAATTGACGGGAGGGGCTGGGGCGCGGGCGTTGTACTGGACGTGGCAGATGAGCTTCATTTTATTCCGTTCAAGCTGGGCGTTGTCTTTCTCAATCTCCAACACCGGCTCGGTTAGAACCTCTGATATAGATCAAATGACGAAACAGAAGGCACTTGCAAGTTAAATCACTGGGGATTGATTACTAGTACTGGCCCGTATCTCGCTAAACATAAATGTTTAACTCACCTAAGATGTTCACCAGAGTGGGAACTGACATCACGGAGTGTGTACGATGACTCAGGTCCCAGGATGCCCTGCATGAGTAACTTCCTTCGTCCTCCAGGGTGACGTCAGGGAGGTGGAAATTTAAGCTGCTCCCACTCTGCACCATCACTTCAATCCCGTCTCTGTACAAGATCGTCTGATGGACGGGAGCATTCCCTCGAAGACGGCATTTCAAATCCAGGGTGTCTCCAGTGAGGACAGGGCGTTTTGTCATTTGCAGGATGACAAACCCTCCTGCAAAAGACACACACACAAAAAAGTTTTCCATTAGTCATTTAGTCTAATTTTATGTGAGGGTATTTAATAGAGGTAACTTGATTTTGCAGTTCAGTGTAGGGGAGGGAATTTATTGTATCGTTTATCATTTATCACAATAAATGTATTTTAAGTATTTGGATAGATTGTTGTCACAATAAATTTCAATTAATGATGCTTATTAAAACCCGTGAATGTCTGCATTACGAGGATTGTTTTTACTGTTTGTTCAATAATTGAAAATATGATTAAGTGCAGCTACTGTGTGCCACTTTTTTATGTGACTGGTGTCCAAAAGAGGGACTTTACAAAGAAATGTAATTGGGTTTTATATAACCGAGCAGTTATGTGAAAAAAAAAAGAAGTAATAAATTGTTCTTATCGTCACTTTTACTGTTGTCAAAATACCGTGATAAAATTTTAAGTCACCACCAACCCCTAGCTCAGTGCTAAAGAAGAAGTTGACCAGGTCAGGAAGAATTTCCCGTTTGACAGTTTCGGAAATATGAGAAAGAGGAAGAAAGACCAAAAAAAAAGACGTTTGTTTCTTTTTAAGACCTCACCATCAACATGGATCTCGGTAGGTAGACTTCTTAGTGTTTTTAAGGTTCCCACGTCCGTCTCTCTCTTTCCTTGGCAGGAATATTTGCCGCTTTCTTTAACGTTGGCATTCCTCAGGTAGTATATCTCGCCAGTCTGTGGAAGCTGCACGGATTCCCTGAACCACAGGTAATCCCAGGAGGCGTTGTACGCGACGGGGTTGATGCATCTCAGGCTCAGACGTTCCCCGCTGAAGATCCGGGAATCTCCCGAAACTGTCTCCACGATGGCCCTGTAAGAGATTGTAGTGGGAACTGTGGAGAGGAAACAAACCATGTGATAGGGCATAGAAATGTTTATCATAAATCATTAAACTATCATTTGAAAAAAGCCAGTATTTGTCCCCAATGATGTAGTTGCATTAAACACTTACACTCAGACACTATGACCTGTGGTGACAATGCAAGAACTGAAACAGAGAGTGATGAAGGATTAGTGAGAGCAGATAGCATCATGTTATCAAATATGTTGAATCATATCAAAGTAGTCAAAATGAAAACCTACCGAGGAATGAAATTACTGCTTCCATTGTGCTCAGTGTGTGTCAGGATCAGATAAGGCAGGATGCTTTATTCTAATAAAAGGAGAAGTGAAAGTCTCTTCACACAGGATGTCCTCCATCCTAAAAAGTGCTGCCTCATCAATTGTTTGTTTTATACTATTTAATATAAAAATGTGCCATTTTCATTAAACACATTTGGATATATTCGACTTTAAAGTTTGCCGGATAAGTCACTGAAATTCTCGTTGGTAGCAGTAATGTAGAGCTCTGAGCTCGGCTGTTGTTTCATCCCCTCAACAAACTACTTATATTTTACTTTTTTGGTTGTTGTTTTGACCTGTTTTAAACCATATCACAGGATTTTCTCCATCTCTTCTGAGGTATAACTTAATCATGGAAACTTAGCAAAACAGCGGAAAAGGGAACTGAAAATACCCCCGAAAACTCCTGTCAGAAGTCAAATCTTCAGATGAACTGGATCAACACCCAGTAACAAGCTAAAACTGATATATATATATTTATACACATACATATATATATATACACATACATATATATATATTTTAAAAAAGCTAGTTTATCAGAATAGAAGTTGAGTGAAGGAGTGTTAATTTTACTCTTTAAACAGGTGGTGCTGATTTATGTAGCTGAGGCACTATTGTGTTTGCAGAATCCCAGTATGACTTTTTTATTTTACGCATCTGTTACTCTAACAGATGCGTAAAAGTTAACAGTCTCATCTCCACCTAAACCAGGATGCAGCTCATTTTTATTGGTTATGTTCAATGAAAGTTCGATAACTTAAAAGAGACGGTTACAAAATAAGCCCAAATGTCAAAGCAAATACTTGATATCAACATTACTCAATTTCATCCCATTCTACTATCCTTTTCATTGATGAAGATGTACTCACCTCAGCATACCGAAGGCTTGAAGTGGCTGATACAGCAGAGGAGTTCTCACTATTTTCTAAATACATGTATAAGACTACAAGGAGCACTGAACTTTCAGGCCAAGATGGACATGAAACTATTAACTCTGCTCTAGCAGTTTCTTTATTTGTCAATTTTGCTGACAAAACAATTATTATTTATGCGGGTATAAGTTAAAAGAAATTAGCACATTTGGTGAAATACAATGTCCCGTCTCTTCTGCAATATATGAGTTTAATACAGTACATGTGTACTGGATGGATGGTGTAAAATTTGGCCCTATTGATACCAGAGCAGATCAAATCTGTGCCACTTTTTGAAGCATTTAGTTGTTTTTTGTTTTTTTTGTTCAACTCTCAACTCAGATTGCAAATTTTTGCCATTTCATCAGTTTCTTGGTTCAATGAAATTACCCTGGTACATTCTCGGATTCAGAAAATCCCAGAATTTATGTTTTACTGAGGAAGAGTGACTCATCTTAGTGAGAAAATGTTAGTCATGAAAAACAGCAGCAGCACACATACAAGTACTGAGTTTCAATTTTATTAACCACCAATCGTTCCACTCCCGTAGATGTAGGCAGATCAAAACTCTCCCAATAAATTATGTCTTAAATTAAAGGCAGTTTCGAGTTAATCTCAGCAAACCTGCAACTATAACAAACCTATAATCAAACAAATGGATTAAAACACTTGTTCAATTAACTTCCACTCTCAGTGCAAAATTAAAAAGGTTTCCAAGCCTTAGCGGTGCAGTACAAGACCTGGCTTTCAAACGGCAGGTTCACACGGCTCTTCGGATGCAAATGTCATTGCAATACAAAACAAAAGACAAAGCACAAGTGTAAAATGTCTGCCTAATGCATTTTTGTCATTGTAAATCTGCCAAATACAGAGAAATGAAAATTACTTTCCTATCTGTCTGACACGGTGTCGCCTGATAAAAGCTGAAATTTGATGCTGCATGAAGAGCTTTAAAATCAGACTAAAAAATAAAAAATAACTACAGTGAAGCAACTAAAGCTTTAGGGGTGACTGCTATGTCCTGTTTTTGCAGGAAAACAAGATATTTCCTTTTGTTTTGGTCTAAAAATATTTGCCGGAGGAAATAAATAAATAAATTGATTAATTTATTTTTTTCGTCGGCCTCCTGAAAACGCTGCATCCATGCTCATTCACCGCTGTAAATATTACAAGTTTAAGCTGATCAAAGAAATATTGATATATTCTGACACTTCATAGAAAAATAAAATCTGAACATCCAGCTGATGATGACAGGTCATAAAAACCAGACTCGACAGTATTTGGACGTACTGGTGCCGATTTTCTTTTCTTCGTCTTCAAATTGTCGGGAACAACGTGCAGCACACGTGCGCCGCTTATTCACATGCACAGTCATTGTGCACACACACACACACGCGCACACACTCTCTGGTTATTTCTGGGAAATACAAGCTAAATTCAGCATGAAATACAGGCATGACTTGAAGAGCAACATTAGTAACAGAGGAGTTTGATCACTCAGATTTTTACACGTCTTTCTTTTTGGTTTCTAAACTTTTGCTATCCTAGTTTTTTTTTTTTTTTCTGGACATCTTGCATCGTGGCTGAAGGTTTGGGACTCAAGCACGCCATTTATCGCTACTGTACAAATGTAACAGCTATAAAAAGTACTGAGGTACTGCAGGTAGAGGATGAGGAGAAGTTTTTTGGAAGAGCTTATAGTGGAGTGTTTTCCTCCTTCGCAGTGAAAGGAGCTGCATCTGATGGTCGGGGTCTGCCCTGTTGCGTCCCACTGCTCCACCTCATGTGGAGCTGCGGTTAAATTTCATCACTTATTTGTCTTTTTGCTGTGAGGTAAAACGTGAACAATGCAAAAACACAAAGTCTTACCAAATATTTTTGGTCTAGTTTTCTGTGCAAATATCTTAGTTTTCAGGAAGATATGGGAGCTTATTTAAAGTAAACAATTCCTTAAAATTGAAGAAAAAGCTCCAGTTCCACTAGCAGGTTATTTCAATTGTAACAAGACATTTTTCCCGTGTTACAGGTAAAATAGTCTGCCTTAGATCTTGCTACAAAGTTACATGTAAGTTAGTTTAAACTTATGTCAAGTGTACTAAGACATTGCACTAGAAATCAGACCAAAATGACTTGGTAAGATTTTGTTTGTTTTTTTTCTGCAGTGAAGATCGTTGTGCCTTTACAGCGAAGCCATTGCTGTTGGGTAATGATAATGCAGTCGTTACCCAACAGTTCAAATCTAACAGTTGGGTAACGACTCAGCATGTTTTACGGCATCTAAGGGAACAGACGGATGAATGAACACTCCAGATCCAACAGACACTACATGTGCTTAAGGACTATAAAGAGAACACACGGGAAGATGGAAGTAGAACCTCCAGGAGATTTTTCTGCAGAGCAGATGTTTTCCTATCAACCAGCAAACACCTGAGGCTGCAGCGGCGGAGGCAGCAGCTCGTTCTCTACATTTTCAGAGTCGATGGCCGACGACGCTGCGGCCGCCGTTGTTGTCGCCGTCCCGCCGGCCGCGTTCGTCGTGGTGCTTTGGGCGTCGAGCGGAAAGCTCTCCAGCGCGCTTTGCACCTTCTGCTCCACTTCATCCGTCCAGTCTATCAGGTCGCTCTCCAGCTGCCGAGCCTTCTCCACGACCCGCTCCTGCCTCTCGCCGAGCCCGGTTAGCAGGTCCAGGCTGCTGTGGACCTGGGTTTGGGCTGCGCCGCCTGCGGATGAGGCGGCGGTGGTGGGCGGCGGCCAGTTCGGAGACGCCTGGCCCGACATGTAGAGCTCAAACTCCTCAGAGCTCATATTCAGAGACTGACCATCCAGTTTCTCTATGAAGGCCACTGCACAGCACTGTGGAGAGGAGAGAGCTGTTAATGACAATTATATCATCTACACAACAACAACAACGCTCTTTAGACCTACATTTGTTTAAATAATGTTTAATTTATTAGGGATTAACAGCAATGAGATGGAGAATACATTATGTGGGCTAACAGCTCCCCCTACTGGATCCTTTCATATTTTAGACCTTTTAGACCACACTTAGGTTCAGGAGGACTACGATACACAAATGACTTCATGTCAGGAATCTTGAGTTAAATATAAGCAAAACAAAATGGTTTTTAAGCCAGAGGTAAAACATACAGGTAGTTTCAAAAAGTTGTGCTTCTCCAAACTCAGATGTACACATTTTTTTCGAAGACAAGATTTTGGCCTAGTTTTCTAAACAGGGTACAAATTAAGCACCAATGTATGGATCAACAGGTGAATGGAAACACTTCCGTAACACATTTGTGTCTCGTGAAATGAGTTTACTCTTGTAATCAGCCGGTTTTCTGGTCTATCCATAGAGGAGCAGACGCTTTTCTAGCCATAGAACTTTAGGAAGTGCACCTGAATCAGTTATTGTTAATCAGAAAAATACGACACTTGCATATTTAACAAAGATTTTGGTGATCGAAGAGAAAAAACTCTGAAATTGTTGTGCTTTTGTGAATCAAAAAACAACAATAAACAAAAAACTTGCATTGCAAGCCTGGTGGGCCAACAGGCTTTATTTATTATATTTATTTATTTTTTTAACAATTGCCCTTTTTTTATTTTATAGCTGGAGTTTAGGCATTAATCTTCCAATAACATATAATTAGCGAGTGATATTTTCACATTTCCTATCAATTATAAATATTTTTAAAGCACCAGGCCTCGCAAGATTTCTGGAGGAAACCCTGAAAATTCACTCAAACTGGAGTGAAGCTTTTATAGAAGTATAGATATTTATCAGACAGACAATATTACTTTGAATAAATATTAACATAAACTTTTGACATAGTTTATGTTAATAGCTATGTGTTTATCCACAGCAGTGGAGTGGATTGTTTTTGTTAATGTTTTTATAAGAATTGCACCTAAATGTGAAAATAAAAAGACATAAGACCATTCATGTGTAATGTATCTGCACTTCTAATAATATTAATTCTCCTCTTGTGAAAAAACGTCAGTAAAATTTCAACCCCTTTTAAGTCATGTTGCTGAACACGTTCTTCTCATTTCCTCACCAGATTAGTGAAGTAGTATCCGTCCTCTCCGGTCATGAGTCGGCTGGGGTTGCAGAAGCGGGTGATGTACTGGATGTTGGACTGCAGCCGCGGAGGGTTTGCCTTCAGCACGATGTAGATGAGAGTCGGGAGGAAGTCGTCGGCTGACGCGGCCTCCTTCTTGCTCACTTTGATGGCGTTGAAGATGTGCTTGCTGCAACGGGTGATGCACGCCAGCTTCTCTTTGGGTACCTGCTTCGAGTCCATTTCAATTACATCTGAAATCAGGCAGAAATGTTAGAAGAGGAGTGACCCAACTTGAGCAATCGGGCAAAAAACAAATCCAGGTTGAGACTCACCTGTAATGGCTTTGACGACGCTGTCTGAGACCTCCGGGATCTCTTCATCCACAGGCACACACAGCATTTCTATGGTGACCCAGTGCAAATCTCTGGAGCCGAACACAATCACAGTAAAGTCACATTTACAGTACTTTTGTTTTTTTCTTTTAATTTCAACGCTGGAGTTTATGTTTGCAAACCTGATTCTCTTCTGAACAGCCAAGTCTTTCTTCTCGTCGTCTGTGGTTTCCGGACAGAAAACCTCAGTGTAAAGTCGGGTCATCATGTACTTCTCCACTTCATCCATCACCCTCTCTACATGCTCTGTCGAACCTGTTACACCGCAAACCCATAATTACTTTTCACATGTGCTATTCTCACTGTTTTTACTATTTATTGTTACTATAAAAAAATATATACATATATTTGTGCGATGAAGTACCTTTGAACTGGTTCTGAAGCCGGTCTGAGAGGTTCTGGTAGAAGTCTTGCACACACTCCGACTGCTCGTCGGCTCCCATGTCCTGGACAGGGACCGAAAAATGCATGAATTTGGAATGAGTCACATTCAGATTTCACACTGATTGCAATAGAGGTGTCCCGATACAACTTTTCCACTTCCGATACGATACCGATATCGAATCGATATTATCACAAATCACGCATACTTTCATCACTGATTTCGTCAAGTGGAATGTTAGAAAAGGCTTGATCATGTGATATTACAACAGGTAGAAGAACAACTGACTAACCAACGGTTCTGCATGTGGGATGTAAACAGTGCAGGGTTGAAATCCTGGGGCAAACTAAATGCTGCAGAATAGTGCGTCTATCGGCACAATTACATCTGAGATTTTAGATGCTGACAGATATAATCAGATACTCTTTTTTTTTTTTGGTTGATATCAGACCAATTTCCAATATCAATATCCGATCGGGACAACCGCAGATCAACATCATCTTAATAATTTAGGCAGGAAGTTCAGCAATAAATGCTGCAAACATTTTTAAACTGCTTGTTTATCATAAAAACAAAACATACAAAAGCAAGCTTTTGTTTTTCTTAAAGGCAATTACATCAAGGTAAATGTTTCAGATCAGGACTATTCTTTGAATTTTGATTAAATATCAAAACTGAAGTGAAAACATCTGAATGTAACAATTTACAGCAGCTTGAAAAGCTTTTTTTCATATGTCTTAAAGGTTTTCTAATTAATTATCTATTACTTCATGCTCAACTATACAAAAAACAACAACAAAGAAACAAGAAGTTGGTGGCTGTAAAATGACTAAATGTGGAATAGTTACTTTACACTAATAGTGTATCATCAAAAAGTTGACGTATTCAGTGATATATGATGCTAAAATGTGCAATCTTTCAATGAATGGTGGCAGATAGTAATGAAAACGATGCAGTGAATTGAAAGCTTCCTCCTCTTTAAGAGCCGTCTGAGTGAGAGCGTAAACGCATAACGAGTAGAAACGGGAGTAATAACGTCTGGACGGATCAAAGCTCACCCGCTTGTACACCATGCCTTCAGTGAAAGCCCGACACTGTTTGAAGATTTCCCTGCCAGACTTCACCGACTTCAGAAAATCTATGAACTCTTGCGTTGCGCGGTCGCTGTCTGGAATGGGCTGGCGACTGGCTGAGGAGCTGGAGCTCGGAGTCGACTGAGCGTCAGCATCTGGAGGAAGACGACAGACAATAATTTTGTATGTTTGCATTTACTGTGCTGCAGTCTTTTTTAAGGTTCTTTCAATCATAAATATCCAGGGATATGGGTGGAATGAAGGAAGAATAAATCTGCAATGTAAGGCGGTAAAACATCAAAAGAGAAGCTAAATTTAGCATTAAGCATCTGTTGGAAAACTACTTGTGCTCTGTTTATAAAACAAAAACTGAAGTAAGTATTCAGTAAAGGCATTTTTTTCTTTCCGTACAAGCCACACCTAGTCTGGTGTTCTGTTTGGCCACAGCACCTTCTTGAAGGGGGGCATGAGCTGAGTTAACGAGGGGGAATGATTAGACATTCCCCCTCTCCTGCCATTAAGATTTTACTGTCCAATAACATAGAAAATAATTCAGTTCTTCTGTTTTTTCTTTTTTATTTTTGGCTCTGTCTTCTCAAAGCTCCAGCAGAAGGCGTGGCAGAAGAGCAGCAGAGACGGGCTCTGGTTCTGCCAGAAGTTTCCCGCTTCAAAGAGAAGTGAAATTCAGCAAAATCTGTCAGTTGTTTCTAGGTAAATGCATTCAAGAATTTGAAAAGATTTCTCAAAGACCCGGCCAAACTACCCAGTTTCAGGTTCATTTGTCATATAGCTTTACACACTGCATATTAAGCTCCTGAAAGAAAGTTAAGTGCTCTTGTAAAAAAAATTGGAAAAAAAAAACAAAACATCTACAGGCATCTGATATGTATATGTAAACATAAAGTGAATGCAACAGTTTGTATGACAAAAGAGAAAAAAAATAAAGATTTCAAACTTTGAGCAAATATTTATGTTATGATTATTTGTGTTTGCACCAATGTGGGTGGAGCTTAAAGTTTGGATTCGCAGGAGGTGGGCCCAGAAGCAAATCATGTAAAAATAAAGTCAGTCAGTGTGTATGTCCAAGACAGATTACCCTTTTTGGGTGGTGTTTTTGTTGATGGAGTGAAAAACTTTGTGACTGTGTTGACTTTGCTGGACTTCTCCTTCGTCTTTCTTTCTTCAAACTTGTTGAAGGGAGTGATTGCAGGTTGCGATTGTGTCCTCTGATGCCTGCTTGCATAAGCTTCCTCTTCCTCTCTCTGCAGCCTGGGAAAACGACGACAGGACAACTGAAAAGCTTGCGAGATGAACAGTAGCACAAAAGCCACGTTTTCATGAGGTAAGTGGACAGGTCTTCAGCGCTTTGGTGGCTTTATTATTTGAAGCAAAGACACAGTGTGGATGCAAACCTTTCCGCAAGAGCCCAGTCCTCTTGAATTTGCCTCTGCTTTTCTCGCTGATTTTCCTCTCGCCAGCACTTTGAGCACAGGCCCTGCCAGGCTGTGTTGCCATAAAACCCACATCCTTTTTTGCAGAGCAGCTCAGATTGGTCCACATGGATGCCACGTCTCTGGCTCATCGCTCCTCAGTGACAGCTGGGGAACCAGAGAGAGAGAAAACCGTGAAGTAGCAAACGCATCCAAAGAGTCCCTCTGCAAGTACATTTATCCTCTTTCACTCTTCAAACTATTGAAAGTGTTTCGTCGCTTAAGTCAAACGGAAGCTCGGATTTGAACACATTTGCTCATTTGAGCTCTTCAGGCCCAAGTCTAAGCAAACTAACTCCCAAGACGTTTCAGCAGGACTGACGTCAGAGGCGCATCTTGTCTACAGGAATGTAACAGCTATCAGCTAAGTTAGCATTAGCTCGAATATATGAAGACACTTAAACTAGGTAAACACTCTTTGTCAGTTCGTGACACACGCTACAAACAATTTCTGACGTATCGTGGTAATACTAGGACATGTCAGCTTGAGCTGAAAACAACACCTCGTTCTCCAAAAACGCCATATTTACAAGCTAATTAACTGTTTACCAGTCATTATCCAATGCTACCTGAGCTAGACTACTGTCACATGCCGAAATGGTATTTACATGTTATTTACGTGAATTATATGTAAACATACGGTCTTATTTGTCTCCACGGGTTATCTGTTAATTTTGTCACCGCAGTCTCCAGCCTGTTGGTGGTGGATAGATTTACATCGGCTAAACAATTAGCTTCGTCCTGGAGCCATCTTCTCTGACAGACCCTTCTTTGTGGGTTTAGGAATTAAAAGGAAGCCTTTGTCTCCCCCTACCGTTAGCTTTTGGATCGACAAAAAAGTGATTTGAGTGAAAACAATGAAACTTATGAACTTCTACCGCAAAACAGTGAGTTATTTTATTGTACTATATAAAAAAAAGTATTTTTCTTGTTAATAAAACAACAATAACGCATTCACCTAGTTGTATTCAACAAAAATAAACTGAAGTGACATTGCAAACATCAACGCTTGATGGTCTTGCATTAGATTACAGTACTAGCATTTATTTGGCACAAAGAAAAAAGTGGCTCAAAAACATCGTTTTTGGATACTTAAAAGTGTGTGGGTGAAAATAAATCAGATGAAATTAAAAGAAGGTACTTGGGGTCACAAAAGTTGATGAATAATTTATGTTATTTCAGGAAATCATTTATATATAAAATAAAAGTACCAGATATTGAGGTATTGAATCATATGTCATTAGTTTAAGCAAATATATACATATATATATTTTGCTTACTTGATTATATTGCTCTATTCTGTCCATACACTCCCTGTCCAAGCTGCTCTATTTCCCAGTCTAATGTCCACTGAGTTTCTGTTTTCAGTTCATTCAGTTTTGAGTTGTCTGTGAGGTGACCTTGATTCGCACTTAAATAAACTGCATTTCAAAGTCACAACTCAATCATATTCCTAAAACTCCTCCCCATAGATCTTGTATTAAAATTGAATGTTGTTTTTCTTTCTTTTTGGTTGGCCTTTGAAAACAATTTTTTTCATGTCATTTCAGTGCAAAATGCAGCAAGAGTCACGAGCCCCAAGTGAGACGTGCAATGTAACCTAAGCTAAGTTACAATGTTTGCCCCTGAACATGTTGGCAGGCTTTACAATTGAAAAAGAAAAAAAACAAGTCACATCATGGTTTGACAAAACAGTTTATTTTCTTCATCAGTGTACTCTGCAACTCAGCAGAAAAAAGTCATTTCACATACATGCTATAAACAAAAACATCAAGGCAGAGGAAAACTATTGCGATAATATTGGTTAAAACTGCTTATTTTTCAGTCTGCAGGGCATCAGCTGCTGCTGGAATGAATGCACATCAATTTTCCTCCAAAGTCACAGGAGCTGGAAAAAAAAAAGATGTTACTGAGTTGTTATTGTTGTTGTTGTTGGTTTTGACCTGCATGTGTTTTTGTGTGTGTGTGAAGAGAATTCACTTTAGATTCACCAGGGATTGTACCTGCTCAGATAGATAGGCCGAGGTCAGAGAAGAGTACAGGATCTTTGTTTTGAAAGTGAACCATCATCTTCTGGCTGGCTTGATCTCCTTTCCGACACACTGAATCGATGAGAGCGCGCGCCTTGTCTGCGCGGCTCTTGTTCTCCTCCAGGATTGAGTCTTTCTCCCCATCGTTCAAGACTTGGTCCCACAGCAGGCCGTCCAGGAGCTGATTTATTAGTTCTTTGGAGGACTTGTTCACAAAGCCGGGCCTGATCCCTTTGAGTTTCTCTGCTAAAAGACAGAGGACGCGTTTACAAAAGGGCAACCAGTCTGTTTACAATGAAATGCGTGAGAGATACAAGAAATGGTCAGTTGATTGTTGTTGCAGAAATGATGCCTGCAGAAAATCCACATTCATTCAAAAAGTTCAAATAGAATTATTTATTGTATTTGAACTTTTATTTTTGTCTTGTGGCACAGAAAGCCACATCACGGACAGCACTGCAACTGTCAGAATGAACCTTTTAGTCTTCGTGACAGAGCACTACACTCACTTTCAATACTATTTATTTTTCAGTCTGCAGGGCATCAGCTGCTCCTGGAATGAGTGCACATCAATTTTATTATTTGCAGAACAGATTTCATCAGGAATATTTGTGGTTGGTTTTGTGTGGGGCAGAAGTAAGGTGCTGCATTCATGCGAGAACCGCCTCTGTAGTTTTGACCTCATGAAAAATCAAATAAATAAATAAACAAACAAATAAAAACTATTCAGGAGACATTTAAATCTATATGCACATTCTTTAATAAAACGTTTTGTGGATGAGTGAGAACAAGTTAAAAGGATGCTGGCTGAACTTGAAGTAAACTGTGGATTTCACAAACCACTGAAAGTAAAAGTAAACACGCCCGATGAGAAAAAGAGGAAGGAAGGCAGTGTCTGCTTTTTTTTTCCTTTTTCTTTTAAATATACATTACTGCTGTTCGCATTTGCTCTGCACTCAATGAATATTTCTTGTCCGATTTCGACTAAAGCTGCTGCCAATTTAGGTTGAACTTGACCTTCTTCTTGTCGATTTATTTATTTATTTATTTTTTGGCTCCCTCGCCCGGTCAGTCACACAAACTTCACAAGAACCACTGGAAACCCGACGACTCATCGGGTCCACACTAACAACCGGGACCGTCACAGACGCTGGAGACTTTTGCAGCTGTCTGATTTTTGTTGTTTTCTTACCTGCCATGGCTGCAAAATCTCTACGTGGAAGACTTTGCCCCAGTAAACTCCACCCCATGTTGCTGCAGACCCAACCTCAGGCAACCAGGACACAAAGGAAATGAATGCGTGTTGACTGATAAAACCTGAGCTTGAACTATTCTCTTCATCCATTTTTATTATTATTATTATTTATTTATTTATTTTTGGTCGGATGAAACAGACGTAAAGTCAAATGAAAGTTCTATGAAAACGATGCCGTTCTCTAAGGAATACTTAAAAATCGATAAGCTTCACACTCCAGCAGTAACCCTGTCATTACGCATTAGTGACGCGCAGCTTTGTGCAGCTGCAGCTGGAAGTCATCCAGCGCGTGGACCCGCAGGAAGTTTTCAAGTTGAAGATTTTTTTTTCGTGGAAGTTTCGGGAAACCCCAACGATCCGAGTCCCCCAGAACAATGGCAGGTGAGATTAACAACTCAAAGCTTTGCAGACGCGGCTACAAGTCATGTTCGTCTTATTTTTATTTCTTTATATATCCACGTGGCGCATCGTATGAACCCAAAAACCGACGGCCTGCTTCTGACCCTCTGAATGGAGACGGGAGTTAGTTATCGTCTCGGATCTGCACAGGTTACGGCTTTAGACGATTAGAGCAAAAGATTTGAGTTATACGTCTGCCTTCTTTTTTCTTTTTTTTTTTTTTGTGACGCGTTATAGTTTCACTTTGACGACGAATCTTTTTTTTGGCAGGGTGTTTTACCAGCACTGTGTATTCAGAGCTGCTTCACATTCGTTACGTCAAAATCACAAACTCTGACGTGTTTGTATCCTCACTTTTATGCACTAACAGAACTGTGTAACACTCCTGTCCACTTTTAGAGAATAAATCTTCATAGTAATCTGCCTATAGTAATTTGTAATACATTCTAGTTTTTGTCCCTCAGTAAAATATTGGTGCTTGTTGTAACTTTTGCACTTGTCTATCAATCTTTTTGTGACTTCACTGAATTTATTGCCACATTTTGGGTTGTTTGTGTCCATATCCTTGAAATTGCAGATAAAGAACTTGACAGAGTCAGACCTCAATTTGTGAACAAGGTGACTAAAGAGGTGATCAATCAACTCCTGGACGGCCTTTTGCATGATGGTGTGTTGAACGAAGAGGAGAAGGATGCAGTAGTTGAAGAGAATGACAGCAGAGCGGCTAAAGCACGCTGTCTCATCGACAAGGTGAAGAGGAAAGGATCTGAAGCCAGCAGCAAGATGATCGCTCACCTGAAAAGTGTGGATAAAACACTGTACTGTGAGTTGGGTCTGTCCAACGCCCAGCCTGCTCAGCCAGGTGAGAGGAGTATATGCTTTTTTGATAGTTAAGATTAGAAAGCGTCATAATGTGCTCTGATAAATGTAATGTGAATGCTTCTTTCAAACCAACACATTTCTATTTAATGGTTTAGCTGCAGCAGGCCTGGTGGCTCAGAGTGCATCAACTCCTTCAGTCTCCAGCGTGGAAGAGTTCTGGAAGTCCAAAAAGGACCATCCAGAGGTCAGTGACACGTTCTCATGAATCAAATGGAAACGTTTATGCTATATTGGATGTATTACTGAATTTATATATATATATATATATATATATATATATATATATATATATATATATATATATATATATATATATATATATATATTCGTTCAACACACCATCATTATATCTACATATAATGAAATAATTATTTATTTTACTTTGGGGTTGAGTTGTTTTTTTTGGATTTTTCTCACTGTGCTGTTGACCGAGTGAAACAAATTTTGCACAATGTAAACATAATATCATAATCAACAATCTCACTTTAACTTTCCACATTAGGCTCCAGTTCAGTTGTTTGTTTTATTTTAATCAACATTTAATTTTGTTTGTCTGTTTACCTCTTTCTCATCCGTTTTCAGGTCTACCCTGTGACCCAAACTTCTATGAAGAACCGCGTAGCCCTGCTGATCACTAATATCAAGTTTTCTAATGGATCAATGAACAGAAGGGGAGCAGAGAAAGACGAGGAGAACATGGAGAAACTGCTTTATAATCTGGGATATGAGGTGGTGAAATACACAAACCTCACTGGAAAGGTACTTTATTCTAGATGGGAGATTAAATGAAACAGATTCTTGACTGATTGATTAATTAGTTTAATGACTGGTGACATAATTTTCTGTCTTCTTTCAGGCTATTGATGAGGCTTTAATTGACTTCACGAAACATCCCAAACTAAAACACACTGACAGCGTGTTTGTGGTTATCATGTCTCATGGGATGCTGGGGAAAATTCTTGGAGTTGACTGGAAAGCGGACAAACCAGATGAATTTCCAATCAACGACATTTTCAAACACTTGGGCTCCGAGAGCTGTCCAGAGCTAATAGATAAACCAAAAGTCATCATCATACAGGCCTGCAGAGGAGGTGACTCAGATCTGCTGCTGCAGATACTAAAGCTCACTGTGAGTTAATATAATGGTCTCACCTGTTTGCCTTTTTTATGCTTCAGAACATAGCGGAAGCGTTCTGGTCAGCGACAGTCCAAACGCAGCGGATCATGTTCCACAACCTGAGGATCTGGAAGAAGACAAGCTTCAATTTGTTCACAAAGAGAAAAACTTCATTTCTCTTCTTTCCTGCACACCTGGTGGGTTTAAAGTGACACTTTAGATGAACTTATTGTAATGGTTGTAACTTCATTACATTTTAACCTCTGCTCTTCTTCCTTCAGACACTGTGTCGTACAGACGACCAGATCGTGGGTCTCTCCTCATCCAATACATTGTGGAGGTTTTCACCCCAGAGTCGTATCAGGAACACATTTATGATCTTTTCACGAAGGTATAAAAAAGCCATGAGTTCTGAAAGGAGTTATTAGTGCATTGAAGATTAGGGTTCAAATACAAAATATCCAAAAGATAGATGGATGGATGGATGGATGGATGGATGGATGGATGGATGGATGGATGGATGGATGGATGGATGGATGGATGGATGGATGGATGGATGATGGATGGATGGATGGATGGATGGATGGATGGATGGATGGATGGATGGATGGATGGATGGATGAGATTGTAGAGCTTATACAGATCTGGAAAATACTAAATTAAATGATTCATTTTAAAGAATGAAGCATAGACAGTGAACATAACCAGTAATAATGATGACGCTGAGTGGGTCATGAAACTTTTGCTAACTGTTTATACCATTTCAACTCTACAGGTCATGCAGCGCGTTGAACAGTTTAGGATGGATGAGAAACTACAGATGCCAACAATTGACAGATGCACGCTGACAAAGAGCTTCTACGTCTTTCAAGGCCTCCTGCACAACGATCATTGATGCCACACGTCTTAGTGTGATGTGATGCAGCACTATTTGTACTTTTTGTACTTTTGTACTTTTTATTTGAGCTAAGTGCTCGTACCGGCTCGTTTGAGCAACCAGCCAACCAATTAATTAGCCAGTATGAACTTGTTCTCCTGTTAATCTAGAGCAGAGTGACCAAAGGGTTTATGATTCTGTGTAATAATCATTGTGGACGTTGAGTTATGCCAGTGGCGGCTCCAGAAAGTGTTTTGCTGTAGGATGGGGCTAAGCATTTTTCTAAAGGTGCTATGAAGGACAATTGGTTCTTAGAGTTCTCAACACACAGAGAAGCAAACACAAAGACAACAGTTACCGATAAAGATGACTGAATATGTGGCATAAACTGAAGTATATTTAGGGCATTGCTGAGAAATGTATAATGATAAAAACGTATAACGTATAAGTCGATGTCGATAATTGTTCATTAACTTGCTGTTTCCAATATCTGAAGTGCTGCCAAACTGGTGATGTAATCATTTCAGTTTTATCCACAGTTTCTCCTTAAGGTGTTGATTTTCATCCTCTGAAATTTGGGTAATAAAAAATGATCCATTTTCACATTATGTGCTCCTTTCAGTTGTTTACAGGAAGTGAAGATAGTTGCGAGAGGGGATTTCTTTTAATGCAATATATAATTATTTGTTGTGGTTTTATTATTATTCTTTTAATTAGTTGTGTTTTTCGAGGACAAATATCACAACAATATCATAGAATATCATCTTGAATGAAAAAGAAAATAACCTGACATTTTCCATGATCTCTCCAGGGAGCGCTACAGCACCAGTGAAAATGTGGAGCTTTCTTTATTTCAAATAAAGAGAATCTATGTCAAACACAAGGACTCCACCACTTTTTGGTGGATGTCAACATATTATGTATTTACTAAAGACATATTTGACCCAAATATATAAATACAAATAAATACTTTTGTCTGTCATGGTGGGTCTGTTGAGGGTTAACCAACATTCCCGCCATTTCACCGCAAACGTCACGCAGCTTGAAACCATTGCATGAGGAACTACTGCCGGCGACATGGAGCGAGCCGCGGCGGAGAACAGAGCTGGTACGGTAAATATTACCAAGGGACGAGGTCCCGTTGATACGTTGTACACATGTAAAGAGCCCCGGAGGAGGTATAAAGAAGTTGGAGGAGTCTTTTGAGACATTGTGTCTGGTTTTGAGTTGGAAAAGGAGCGCGGCAAATTCTGTGGCCCATTAATTTCTGTGGCCAAGAGGGGGCAATAGAGCGCGGCTACGTCTTGAAGATCAGCGCGAAGAAGAGTATTTACGTAATTTGCGTAAATACTGATAAATACAGAATTTATCCCAACGTAAGGTCACAACTTATTCCAAGTACACCTCGCTCCTGGCTATTTGAGAGTTAGGTGTTGTTTTAACGGAGGTATGACTGTATTGGAGAGACGGCAGAAACATTAAAAACCACCAGGGCGCTTTGAAACATCCCTTCATCGTTTAACGAGTTATTAAACAGTTGGTTTTCATACTTTAGCGACAGCCGGACATTGAGTGCGATGGTCCGTCAAACAGTTTTCAGAGTCAAACACAAAGTTTTACATTTTCTCCGGCAATAAATGAGCCGTGACGTTCACAATCCCAGATGTGTCGCTATGTACGCAGTTTACGTAACTCTTCTTCTTCTTCTTCTGACGCTCTGTGGCGGGTCACAGGTTTTACTTTCACAGATGATCCGGTTTGATAACATTTTGAAAAAAACAATATGATAGCAGTTACCAAGAAAAGTGGAGCAATGCAGAGTGAACATCCGCCATTTAACCTTTAACATAAACAAATGTGGATTTTTTTTTCTCAGGCGGAAAGAGTTTCTAATAAAGACCCCTGAAAATGACCAAAGTTGTACTGACATAGGTTAAAGGGAGAACACTGCGTCAATATGGCTATAAAACAGGAAGTAAGCAGGAAAAGTGTTGTGCAACAGTGTAAGCAGGAAAAGTGTTGTGCAACAGTGAAGAGTACCTAAAGAAAGATTTTATGATCTTAAAATTGTAAACAAAAATCTTAGTTTTACACCAGATTTTTCTGCTTTTTAAAAATAATTAAAACAGTTTATGAACCATTAATATTTCTTTCCAATTCCAGATGAGGAACTTAAGGGAGTGAGAGATGAATTCATCCAACGACTGTCTGCTGCAGTGATGAATCAACTCTTAGATTTATGCTTAAAGGATCGTGTGTTTGATTATGATGAGAGGGATGAAATCCTGGAGGAGAACCGCACGCGAGCTGGTAAGGCCCGCGCTTTCATTGATGCGGTGATTAAAAAAGGACCAGAGACCTGCAAGAAGATGATCGGTTACCTGGAAAGAAAAGATAAAGAGCTTTTCAAACTGCTGGGTTTGTCCTCTCAGTCAGGTAAGTGTTGCAATGCGATGGGCAGTCCTGCATAGTGAAAACATACTCTTTTATTGCAGGGTCACAATTTCCACTTATTTTTGTAAAGAAAAGTTCAGGCTTTAGCCTGAGTACATTTAAGAAAACGTGCAGAAAAACTATTTTGTCTTTCAGCCAACTCACCATTGCCAGACTTGTTTGCACCTCTGTTGTTACCTCGGCTTTTCATCCCTCAAGCAGCTGACAAAAGGAAAAAAGAAGAAGAAGGAGGAGAAACAGCTGGTAAACAAGCCCGACAGGAGGACAAGCCAGGTAAATTTGTTTGACCACAGACAACTCCAACCATACCTTTGTCCACTGTAACACACCTTTTCTCTTTTTGTCTCTTTCTTCAGATGGAGTGACTCAGAGCCAGGACTTGTCAGAGAAGCAGCTTCTGCAGGTCGCCAAGCAGCTCGGGATGGAGTGGAAGGAGGTCGCTATCTACTTAGGCTTGGAATCCAAGGACCTGGATGACCTTGAGGAAGCAGAGAAAAGTGTAAACATGCGGAAGCACAAGATGCTGTTGAAGTGGAAGAGAAAAACAAAGCCAGGAGAAGCTACAGCCAAACACCTGCTGAAGAGTTTGGAGGAGATGAACAACCTGCCTGTCAAAGTTTACGAGATACTGAAAGGTTAAGTATGTTTATTAGAATAATAACAATCTGTTCATAATTAATTTTCATTTTTGACATTATTTTCTTTGTAAGTGTTCAGAGCACATAGTTCTGTCATGATATTATGACTGCTATCCCTGCATCACCGTCTCTGCTCAGATCTATTTGTTTTCCTTCAAATAGACATTCACTCTGATAATATCAGCAAATTAGTTATGAAGTCAGAGGACGACAAAGTCAGTGTTTAGAGTAGAGTGCCGTCATTCTCAGTCTCAGCAAACTTATAGGTAGAAGCTTACCTAAATGTTTCACAGGTTGTACTGTACAAAGTCCATGATGTAACTTGATTTGAATTCCATTTTGTAAGCAATACAAACAAATTGAAGGAAACTAAGTCAGTTTATTCACACGTATTTTTGTGACTGTTTTCAGGTATGGTGGCCGATGTGAGGGATGAAGCTGCTAAATAAATCAGCCATGTATTCAAGATGTGCTGCGAAGGCAAGTCAACCTGCGGACTTCAGCCCTTTGATTTTTGTTTTCTACAGAAGACACGCCTGGACATTTTTAAAAAAAAAATAAATTATTGGCTCTAGCTGCCTTTATTTGAGAGTGGCTATCCAGGAAAGCAATGAGAGAGAGAGAGGGGAAGACATGCAGCAACTCTCAGCAGGCTGGGAATCGAACCTGAGACGTCCGTGTCGAGGACTACGGGCTCCACATGTGGGTAGTGCATTGCCCCTGTATAACCACAGAATCCCAATGTTTTTATTTAAATTTGTTCAAATTTGAAAATTAGTTTTCTGTAACAAACAGAGACTAATAAAGTCACCAGGCTTAAGAAAGAGATGTTTGGTAACGGATCACAGCCAAGAACAAAATGTAAAAGCGCTGCAGTGTTTGCAGCAACAGCAAAACATCAGGAAAATTCTCGTAAAAGCTGTAGAAAAATCTCACTACAAAGAAATATGTGTGAATGCTGATTTAATCATGAAATTAATTTTCTCCCCTGTTCATTTTAAAACAATTATTTTTTCCCCCAAAGTGTTGGATTGTATTGTTTTGAATCTTTTTTCCGTTTTCCATTTCTTATCTCGCCTCTCACTGCACTGTGGTATGCAATAGAGAATCTAAATGAAGAAGAAGGGCAAATAATATTAGAAAACATCCTATTATCTGATGAGAGTAAAATTGAATTATAGCGTAAATGTTTACTGGGGAAAGCAGCAACCAAACTGCAAAGGAGCAGCATGAGGAAAAAGCATTTTGTGGAAAAATCAAAGCAGCATCTCAAGGAAACAGCCAGGAAAGCTATTCTTTCCTTCAAATAGACATTCACTAATAATATCAGCAAATTAGTTACGAAGTCAAAGGACGACAAAGTCGGTGCTTAGAGTGCAGTGCCGTCATTCTCAGTCTCAGCAAACTTATAGGCAGAACTGAAAAGGTGTATAAGAGTAATTCAGTGTCCAAACCTGATCAAGTTCCTGTTCACTATTTTCAGAAGCTTGAGATCCAAATATTTGACCCAAGTCATAAAGTTTGACAGGAAATGTTTCTAAATCCTAAAAACTGTATAAGAATTGAATAAAAAAAACAACAACAAAAACCTCATTCTGGCATTTAGCAACTAGAAATAAATTTGGAAAACGTGGCTGATCAAAAGAGTTAAAAGTGGTAAAAAAATGTTCCTTTATGGTGTGTAAATGTCTGGTTTCATTTTAATGTTTGCAGTTTATCCTGTATTTGTTGCACTTTTCATCATATATGGATTAGCAAAAACAAACAAAAAAAGAGAGAAAAAAAAAAAAAAACGCAATATGTTGAAATCCTTGCACCTATTTCTTGGTTTTAAGATTTATTGGCGTTGCGGCTTGAAAGATTATTCCAGACTGGACAAAAACAAATTGCTCAAAGGCACCACTGACATACAAAGGTTGTTCTGACGTTCACTCCATGTCATTTTCTTCCTTTTACACACGCACCCTTCTCACCATTACTGCCTTTTGTGGGATCCTGTCTGACAAACCCTTTTAGAAATTCCAAGTAAATAAGAGAAACAAAAATGAAAACAGTTCTATTTTCATTATCAGTGGCAACAAGCAACTGATGTACAGGCTGGTATTGTTCAGAAAAGCATCACTTTTAGCAGATTTGCACACAGTTACTGGTGATGTGAATCCTAACGTGCATTAAGGTTCGACTGCAAGGTCTGACAAAATGACAGTTTCCACTGGACTGACCTCTAAAACACTTGTGAGTAAATAACTGATAGCGTCGTTGGCATGATTTCAGGTCTGAGTTCATGACAGCCTCACAGACAAACCTGACAAGGACATACTAGTTGAACGAGCTTCCAACCAGTTACCTGGAACTCATCAGCCCTTTAAAACCAAGACCACTTCCTTTGTACGCACACACACGAATCCTCCGCCGTTAGAAGACAGGACGTTCACCTCCGGCGTGATGGCTGGTAAGGCTCCAGAAACCGCGGATTCTAAGCCCAGGTCTGTATTTTCCACGTCCTGCTTTTGTCTCTGCAGACAAGGAGCTCACCAGAGTGAGAGGGAGATTTGTGGAAAAAGTCTCCAAAGCGTTGATCAAGCAGCTGCTGGATGACCTATTGGAAGACCGGCTGTTGAACGAAGGGGAGACCGACTCCGTGCTGGAGGACAACACGGGGAAAGCGGACATGGCCCGCTGCCTCATCGACATGGTGAGGAAGAAAGGGGACAAAGCCAGCAGGAAGATGATCGAACACCTGGAGAACAGAGACCCTACGCTTTACTCCGAACTCGGCCTCACCTGCAAGCCAACGCCAGGTGAGAGCAAAGTCAAATCCTTTATTACAAAGTCTGTGATGTCAAATGAATACACACACACACACACAATTCCCCAGTTGTAATAACTAGAGATGCCTTTTTTTCCCCGCTCAGTTCCAGCTCCTCAGAACCAGCACGCCTGGTCAAACTCCCTCATCACCACCACCGACTCCTTCTGGAACGAGAAACGGAAATCTAAAGATGTAACCTGAGCTCAGCTCTCGCCTCCTCTGACTTATTCAACACGAGTTACATCGCCTTCACCTCACAGGGGGCGTTGTGAATGAGCAGCTGCTAGTTTTCCAGCTTGCAGTCCACTGTTGTGAAAACAAAGATTTAACAGTAGAAAGCAAAGGCCGACAAGAATAGCAATTAGACACACGGCACAATTTGAGGATAAAAGGCCTTATGACTTCATTTAAGTTCTCCCCAAACCAGATAAAAACTGAGGATTTTCCACGTCAAATGATTCTCAGACCTCACATTCTCAACGCTGTTCACTCGTCCTGATGTTTATCCGAGTCTCGTTTGATGCTTCAGGTTTACGCCGTTTCAGATGAGTCCCTCAGAAGTCGTGTGGCCCTTTTAGTCACCAACAGAAACTTCGCTGATGCGAGATTAACCAGGAAGGGAGCCGAGAAAGACGAGGAGAACATGGAGAAACTGCTGAGGTCCCTGGGATATGAGGTGGTGAAGCACAATGACCTCACAGCTCAGGTATTACGTTGGCCTTTTTGAACTTTCTTTTTTACTTACGCTAGTTGTATTGAAAGCATCTTTTTCCCACTTGGTATTTAACAAATCGGGATAAAAGTTAAGTTTCTGCTGCCAAAACCATCGTGGGGTTTTGGGGTCTGGCTACATTCCTCGCTTTAAGTTTGACAAAAACAATGAAATATTAAATAACTGGTGAAATGAATTGTTTAGTCAATTTACTAAATAATTCTGTATCTACATTTAATGCTTTTATCTGAAAACCCCCCAAAAAACAGGAACTTTGAATCGATCTATTGTGCTGTGACTGAATTTTCTCCGTTTCAATTTCGCACAGAGGATGAACGAGGTTCTGCACACTTTCTCAGAGCATCCGAAGCTGAGGGACACCGACAGCGTGTTCGTGGTGATCATGTCTCACGGGAAACGCGAATTTGTCCTCGGGGTCAACCACAGCGAGGAAAAACCAGACGAATTCCCCGTCGACAACATCTACAAACACCTGGGTCCGCAGGAATGCCCTGCCTTGATGAACAAACCAAAGATCATCATCATCCAGGCCTGCAGAGGAGGTGGGCGCCGCCTGTCCCGGTTTGGGGCGACCGAATCCCAGATTGATCTCGACCCTGTTGGTTACAGAGACGGGTGGATCCGTGTTGGTCAGTGACAGCGCTCCGGCTAAGGTGGTCTCTGACGACGTGTCGCAGCAACTTCCTGCTAATGTCGGCGGCAACATTGTTGACGATGCTATCCGGTACGTCCACAAAGAAAAGGACTTCATCTCCCTCCTGTCCAGCACTCCAGGTAGGTTTGTCTTTCAAGTCCATAATGTTCTCAAGGTTTTCTCGACTCACGCAAGAAAACTGTGGTTCCTTACAGACACCGTCTCGTACAGAAGAGAGGATTTGGGCTCCTTCCTGATTCAGTACATCGCTGAGGTCTTCAACACCTGCTCCCACCAAGACGACATCGATGAGCTTTTCAGGAAGGTACAAGTCTCAGCGATCGGTATTTAAAGACAGGAGAAGAGTAAGCGCGTTCGGAAACGAGTCACTGTCTTTACTTTTCACTGACCTCTGCAGGTCATGCAGCGCTTTGAGGAGTTTCCTGACGCCACCAAAAGACAAATGCCAACAAAAGACAGATGTACTCTGACGAAGCGCTTCTACCTTTTTCCAGGCCACTGAGACGGCAGCGATTGGTAAATCTGGGAAGCTAACATTAATTACCATTTACATTTACTGTTTGACAAACCACTGCGTCACTGAATTGTGCCATCGAAATACTCCCTGGTGTATCTTTATATAAAATCTGACGTATACGTATACCAAGATGACGGGCTTTCAATCTTGTTCGTTCTTTTGGTTACTTTTTAGACTGTCAGTGATTGGATTATTTTACTGAGGAGCGTATATTTACTTTAATTGGATTCAGTTTCATTCACTTTAGACAATTTTTTTTAAAATACTGTGCTTAAAATAAAAAGTGAACATTTCAAGAAAAACATGGTCTGTCTCTGTATTCCGGTGCTATTCATATTTCTACAACATACATCTCAAAACATGTCCTTATCCTGCGGTACGTCTCCAAATGCAGAGTTAAACTGCATTAAGCCGTTGTATTTGTGTAGAAATCTGTCTCATAAGTCCAGGAAGATTCATTTGAAGAACAGTTTTGTTCAGGTTTTGGTAACTGAATTTGAAACCAGCTTAAGAAAATAAAACAAGTTGATTTAATAGGGTACATTTAAAAAACACAAACAGATGAGTCGGACATTCAGTCAAATGGATATAGGTCAATATATGTGTTCATGTATCCATGCAGACACATGCAGAGTTAGGGACGCTGACAAACTGGTTGTACCGGCAGAGCATGATTAGAAAAAAAATGCCTTTCATTAAGAAAATATGTGAACAAGAAAACAAGCTGCCAAAGTTCTGATTGAACAAACAAAAACAATGCCGCTTCCTTTTTCTTACTGCTCCCCGACTTAAAGGAGCTGGGTAAGTAAAAAAAAGAAAAAAATCCTGTGAAAGACTACAAAAGATCCCGTATGTAAAATTCTAAATAGTGACGAAGATACTAAATAGATATTGCAAATAAATTGGTGCCGTATCTGAAAACTGGACAACATATCGTGACATTACAAGTGATGACGCCTTTTAAAACCACAGCAGCCTTGAAATCAGCTGAATGTTGAACTTGCTGCCTCACATCTTTGCGTAACTTGATCTTTTTGATCAAGTTATGCTTGATCTGTTTGAAAAGGACAGTGAACACGGCCGCTGCGACTTCCGGTGCCACTTCAACTCTTGGAGCGAGTTTTCCTCTAACTCATGTAACTGAATAATATGACCATTTACATCTTGACATTGGTGACAGGAGTAAAATGTTACAAAAATTTTCCACATTCTGCGTTTTTTTGAATCCACAAAGTAAACAATTGGAGGGCTCTTTACACGTCCGGTTCATACAGTTTACAACCTAGTTTAATTAAATTTCGTCAGACTTAGTAGATCATGCTTATCGGTGACATTTGATTCAGGAGTGGTGAGGTCACCTCGTTCCGGAAAGAGCCAACACAATGAAAGGCCAGGAACGGCTCCCGGTTGCATGGAAAACAAACAAATCTTTAGCAGCATGACTGCAGAGACGTCGCTCATCGGAGCTACCCTCACGTCTTGATGCCGGTCTTGTGCGAAATTGGGTTCCCCTGTGAAAATCTGTTCCCCCTGCGTCGGGAGCGCGCATTACAGCCAGAGAGGCGAAAGAGGCGGATCTGATCATTTTCACGTCGCTTCTGATCGATTTCTCGGTAAAAAAACAACTAATATACAACCATGTCAATGTTGTAACACTCAGTTTAATTTGCAGCTGTTGTTTAAAAAAATTGTAAAATAAATAAAAAACGAGGTCTTCTGACGCTGTTTTGTGTTATTGTAAACACCAAGAGAATCGCTCTTTTCTCACGTAAGTCTGGCAGAAATAAAAGTCAGTCACCAAACAGTTTTCCCAACACGTGGTGTATGTAAAGGTTTTTGTGAATTTGGAAACAGTTGTTCTTTATTCCCCAAGGTTATGGAGTAAGGAGAGGAAATAATGGATGATTCAGCAGCCTGAAATATTCTGTTCCCCTCCATAAAATGGGAACAAATTATTTTACCTGCAAATGCTTAACTGTGCTTATTCTTCTCATCATCAACAATAAATCCTGTGAATTTGGTAGCATTTGCTCCTTTTTTGCCAGAGTTATGAGGGGGGAACCATATATTTCAGCTGGCTAAAATATTCCGTTCCCCCTCCATAAAATGGGAACAACTGCACTTACCAGCAAGATTTTTTCTCTGCTTATTCCTCTCATCATCAACAATAAATCCTGTGAATTTGGTAGCATTTGCTCCTTTTTTGCCAGAGTTATGAGGGGGGAACCATATATTTCAGCTGGCTAAAATATTCTGTTTCCCCTCCATAAAATGGGAACAACTGAACTTACCAGCAATGTTTTTTCTCTGCTTATTCCTCTCATCATCAACAATAAATACTGTGAATTTGGTAGCATTTGCTCCTTTTTTGTCAGAGTTATGAGGGGGGAACCATATATTTTAGCTGGCTAAAATATTCCGTTCCCCCTCCATAAAATGGGAACAAATTATTTTACCTGCAAATGCTTAACTGTGCTTATTCTTCTCATCATCAACAATAAATCCTGTGATTTTGGTAGCATTTGCTCCTACTTTGCCAGAATTATGGGGGGGAACCAAATATTTTAGCTGTTTTACCTGACTGAAATTATCCGTTCCCCTCAAAAACATGGAAACAAATGTATTTATCAACAGTAATCATCAACAGCAAACTGGCTGTTGGCAAACAGCAAGTTTGAAAACATTTCATCACTATTTGCTCCATCACCATCTCCACCTGCTGCAGCACCTCCCCCTGCTCCAGTCCCTCCACCGACTCCATCCCCACCTCCTGCTCCATCACCGTCTTCCTCTGCTCTGCCATTGACTCCTGTCCAGTCCAGAAAAAAACTCAAGCTGAGAAATGTAAATTTGATTTCCAATTCTTATAAATATACATCAATGCACATGCATTTCAGTTTTTATTATCATACATATATGTCTCATAAAGACTTTATGTCTTTGTACTGATATGCTTTCATCTTATTTTAATAAAAGGAATAATTTCAGTATATTATTAAAACAAAATGATACTGAAATTATTCCTTTTATTAAAATAAGAGGAAGACGGTGATGGAGCAGGAGGTGGGGATGGAGTCTTGCTGGTAAGTGCAGTTGTTCCCATTTTATGGAGTGAGAACGGAATATTTTAGCCAGCTAAAATATATGGTTCCCCCTCATAACTCTGGCAAAATAAGAGCAAATGCTACCAAATTCACAGGATTTATTGTTGATGATGAGAGAAATAAGCAGAGAAAAAATATTGCTGGTAAGTGCAGTTGTTCCCATTTTATGGAGGGGGAACGGAATATTTTAGCCAGCTAAAATATATGGTTCCCCCCTCATAACTCTGGCAAAAAAGGAGCAAATGCTACCAAATTCACAGGATTTATTGTTGATGATGAGAAGAATAAGCACAGTTAAGCATTTGCAGGTAAAATAATTTGTTCCCATTTTATGGAGGGGGAACAGAATATTTCAGGCTGCTGAATCATCCATTATTTCCTCTCCTTACTCCATAACCTTGGGGAATAAAGAACAACTGTTTCCAAATTCACAAAAACCTTTACATACACACCACGTGTTGGGAAAACTGTTTGGTGACTGACTTTTATTTCTGCCAGACTTACGTGAGAAAAGAGCGATTCTCTTGGTGTTTACAATAACACAAAACAGCGTCAGAAGACCTCGTTTATTTATTTATTTTACAACTTTTTTAAACAAAAGCTGCAAATTAAACTGAGTGTTACAACATTGACATGGTTGTATTAGTTGTTTTTTTTTTTTTTTTTTTACCGAGAAATCGATCAGAAGCGACGTGAAAATGATCAGATCCGCCTCTGTCGCCTCTCTGGCTGTAATGCGCGCTCCCGACGCAGGGGGAACAGATTTTCACAGGGGAACCGAATTTCGCACAAGACCGGTAATCTTCAGCCTGCATTCTGCACAAAAACATGGGAGCATTTCTTTAACACTAACCCAAAACAAAACACTCTGACGATTTCTGAAATGCTTTTCAGATGGCAAATTATTGGTCAATATTCCCACATTTTGAGAAACTCCCAATCGGGGCTCATACTGCATGCTGTTCTTCTAACCTCTGTATCACTGATAACAATTACTGAACTCAGTCACTTGTGCAAGAAGTGAAGGTCAGAAAAAAATATTCTCGATTAGCTCTGACAGCCCCCCAAAATAATCTGGAAGCTTTAGTGAAATGTAATTTATTCACTTTAATTTTTGCAAATGTAAGAGCACAAGACAAAAAGACAAAAGTGTCTGCTTTTCTTTCTCTAAATTAAGTTTGTGTACCGCAGCGTGCACGAATAGCCACAAAGCACATCTGTCATTTACCAGTGTAAACATGAGATGTGGGAAGCGAGTGCTGAGATCCTGCTGGCTGCAGGGGAAACATGGAAGCGTTAAAGTGCACAAGTTAGAACAGGCTAAATATTCACTGAGCAGCACTGAAAACTCTGATGCAGGAGGAATGAAACTGAAAAACAAACATGGAGCACATTATCCAGAAGTTTTCTAAAAGCAGATCCTTCTGGTGTCTCTTTCTGCGATCTGCAGACTGAAACTGCAATAACATGCAAACACTCAAGATGTGTGAATACGTCTTAGTTATCTGCAAATTTTTGTGGTCTCACTGGTTGTAATCTTTTTATCTTGAATGCATAAAACTCGACAGATCGTCATTCCTGCATTAAGACCTTTAATGCAGGAACAACCTCTTACTGGTTGTTTCTGATCGTGCATGTCTGCAGACGCAGTAGTAGCTCTGAAAAGAGTAGTAGCTCTTTTCAGAGACCGCCTGTGTCATACCGTACTGTCACGACATGGTGACAGTTTTAATGGATAAAATGAAAGCATAGTTTTGTAAACATCAAACCCATGAAAATCAGATTAGCGTTCGATATCTTTCACATATACTAACAAAACAAAACTGCAACAAGTTGTAAACCTAAAAAAAAATTGCATGAATACAAAAAGCAAAGTCTTTTGCTTTTTGTCCTAGATAAAAGTAAAACTCAAGATCAAAGTTTTAAAGTGTCAATAAGATATATATGTAGATATATTTTTTAAAAAACCTTATCCCTTTCCTTCAAAATGACAATCATGCTCTGCTTTGTGTTGGTCTGCATCATAAAACCCCAATACTATAAACAAAGTTTATAGCTGCAATGTGGCAAAGTGTAGCAAAAGCTTGAAGCCGTGTGAATGTCTTTTGCAGGAACTGTAAGCGATGCACATACGAAGAAACACAAACAGGTCTGTCAAGTGATGACGACATTTGATCTGTCTGTGTTCATAGTGAAAAAGGAGCAGATGTGCACTTTCAGTGGAAAGTGAAAACCTAGAATGCATGTAGCTCTATAAAGATCCTTGTAGAGCCATGTTAAAGGTTATTATAGGTTTTTCTTTGCTTTCTGGGAATATTACTTAACCAGATCAAATGACTGGGCTCATTCTAGTGTTCAGGGTTCACATCTTCAGCAGCGAGTCAGAGCATGTTGTTGGTATAATAATGAGCTTCCAAGGAACCGTGTGCAACTCAACACAGCTGTCTCCACCTGCTTTTATAAGCCGACTGAGTTCATCAACACAACACACACACACACACACGCTCATCCGTAACTTTCAGAGGACCGGGCATTCGTCTCCTCAGTTCTGAGCCATGGCAGGTAAGGCGTCAGGATTTAGGATTTATTCACTGCTCGTTTTCTCCTTTTTTTTCTCTCTACATCCTTGTCAGGATTTTCAGAGCTGCTTTTTCTTGATTTTTAATTTTTATTGCAGAAAAGGAGCTTTTCAAAGTCCGCAGCAAGTTTGTGGAGAAGGTGTCAAAGTCGATGCTCAAGCAGCTCCTGGACGACCTTCTGGAGGCCCGCTTGTTGAACGATGGCGAGGTGGAGTCTGTGCTCGAGGACAACAGCACCAAAGCAGACATGGCGCGCTGCCTCATCGACATGGTGAGGAAGAAGGGCACCAGAGCCAGCAAGATGCTGATCGACCACATTCAGACCAGGGATGAAATGCTCTACGCCGAGCTGTTCCCTGACTCACAAGATCAACCGGGTGAGACTGCGAGGAAAGCCTCTTATTGTTATGAAGGATGAAAATAACCACTTGGCGTCACAGTGAGACTGATGTTGTGTTTCTTTTTCTCAGATGCAGCTCCTCCGACACAGAAAAACTGGTCAAACAAACTCATCCCCGTGTCTGACTCTGAGAGGACGAAAAAAATGAACGATCCAGACGTAAAGTTTCACAATCAAATTCAAAACGTTCTCTTTGCCTGACATGAGTGACTGTGGTCAGACTGCTTGTGCAGGGGGTGTTTTCAACGACAAGCGATAATTGTGCAATTAAAAGTAAAATCATTGTTTGTTAAAAAAAAAGAAAAAAGTATTCAATCTTGCATTCTTGTTTCCTCCAGATTTACAAAGTGTCCGAAAAGTCTCTGAAGAGCCGCGTGGCCCTTTTGATAACCAACAGAAACTTTGCAGACGATGACTTAACCAGAAAGGGAGCCGAGAAAGACGAGGAGAACATGTTGAATCTGCTCAGATCCCTGCAGTACGAGGTGGTGAAGCACAACGACCTTACCGCAAAGGTATTTTAAACTTCTGCTTTCAAAACTTCTTTGCGTTTCACTGATGCGTTTATATATATAAAAAAAGATTCAAACGCAAAAGCTGCAAAACGTGAAGGTTGAGACACTTTGAATCAAAGCAAACCTTTCTTACAAGATGACATTATATATTTTTTGGGTTTTGTTCCTTAATTTGGAAAATCTCAAAATGCACAAAAAATATTCATTTAAAATGAATACATATTTTCCAGGCACGTTTCAAAGACGTTTTATATGAAATGCTAAACTTTTGTCGATGTGCATGAATGCACAATCAAAACCCAGGTTCTTTAAACACTGCAGTGCTTTCAGGTGAAACTCTTATTGCACTTGTCTCAACTTGGTTGATTCAGCTGCGGTTTAGTCTCTCAACAAGCAATAAGGTCATGGCATTCACTGTCAGGCACGACTCTCACTTTCACGATTGTTATGAGGATGAAAAACAAATCACTTTATTTTGCACAGCAGAAAATAAGGATTCTTCTACCTAAGTTATCTCATGTGTTGTACGAGTTCATAAAACACTGATGTTCGTTTTCCAACAGAACATTGAAAAGGCTCTGCGTGAGTTCACAACGCACCCCAAACTAAAAGAAACAGACAGCGTGTTTGTGGTGATCATGTCTCACGGAAAGCGGGGATTGGTGCTCGGAGTCGACCACAGACAAGACAAACCGGACGAATTCCCTGTTGACAAAATCTACAAATATCTCGGCCCACAAACATGCTCCGCACTGATGAACAAACCCAAGATCATCATCATCCAGGCCTGCAGAGGAGGTGGCCGTCATTCACCCTGAGTCTGAGGCCACGCTTTGCCTCAGATCCAGGTGTAACTATCGCTCGTTTGCTGCAGATCGGGAAGGAGCCGCCATTGTTAGCGACAGCGCGCGACCCAGCGTGGTGTCTGACGACGCGTCGCACCGACCGGCCTCTCCTCCAAGCGGCATCGTCGAAGACTCCATTCGATACGTTCACAAGGAAAAGGACTTCATTTCCCTCCTGTCCAGCACGCCTGGTCAGTCTTGAATCAACTTGGTGCACGTGTTTTTTTTTTATTTTTAAGATCACAATCAGAAATTAGTAGCTGCATGTAAGAAAACTGTGATGTTGTTTTTTTTTTTTTTTTTTTTTTTACAGATACCGTCTCATACAGAAGAGAGGATTTGGGCTCCTTCCTGATTCAGTACATTGTTGAAGTCTTCAACACCTGCTCCCACGAGGACGACATCGATGAACTTTTCAGAAAAGTACATAGGCTATTTCTTTTCCCCTCTGTTGAATCCTAAACAAAACAAAACAAACAAACAAAAAAAAACAGAACAGAGTGGAAAGAGTCATTTTTATGTCTTTTTTATCCTGCAGGTCATGCAGCGCTTCGAAGACTTTCCTGATGAAACCAAAAGACAAATGCCGACAAAAGACAGATGCACTCTAACCAGGCGCTTCTACCTTTTCCCAGGCCACTGAGATGGCAATGTTTGATGAATCCAGCTGTTATTAACCTTGTTATTCTACCCTTACTTTTCTTTTTTTAATGTTCTGTCTGTGAATGTAATAGTGGTGCCACAAGGCTGCTTGCTAATAGTTTGTACTTAAACTGGAAATAAGCCCCATTTTTATTTTGCAGAGGGAATTATGAGCTTCACTTCACTGTCCTGGAGAGAGAAAAAAATAAAAGAAAAGAAATTTTATATATATATATATATCTTAAATAACTCTGGATAACAAATAAAAATAACATTTAAACCCCCTGAGAAGATGTGGTTTCTCAGCCCATTTTGCCCAGATGTAATATGGATCACATGTTTTCCCAATGAGTAAAATCTGAATCTCAAAGCAGCTTCATTAAGATATAAATGTAATTGCGCTACATAAACCATCAGACATGGCGACATATAAATTCAGCATTTCACAGACGCTGGGGACTATACGTCCCTATTTGATCGTCTCTTAGGGAAAGGTAAGCTCTGTGGACGTGACGCTAGAGATGATAGCTGCATATGGAACAACGCTGTGACCAAAATCAGTTGCTATGTTTAATGGCGCAGACGGTTGTGGTTTCTGACATGGGCAACCGCCCAGGGTGTTTTCATTTTTGGGATGGCAGGAGACCTCTGTGGATTGTGGCACAGAGATGGAAGCAAAGCAAAACGAAGAGTTCAAATTGATAATGATACTGGGTAAATTTATTTCCCCTTTAAGTATTTAATATTTTGGTGTTTTTCTGGGGATGTGGATCTTTCAGATTAATTTGAGAAGCAATTTTGATCCTATTTCACATTTTATTGTCATGGCTTTGGTCTTGACTACAACGCTGCTACATGGCTGTTCCAAGTTCGACTCCTCTTGGTTGCATGTAAATCTAAGTCTAAATTATGTCACAGAGTAAACACAATAAAAACATGCTTGATCTGAAGCATTGTTAATTAAACAGAAGTAATCCAGTTTCTTACCGAGTAAAGGTTGTCTACTTTACCGACCCGTCTCCTGTCTCTATTGGCCCTCGACATCTATTCATGGCAGTTTTTACCTTCCAGTCAAACTCTGTCCTGAGCAAAACCGCTTATTCCAACTATCAAACCCAATTGGCTGAGTCGCGCCTCAGATCTGTGACCAACATGCAAATCACTCCCAGGAGGACGAGTCCAGACGAAGCTGCAGGATCAGCCGCTCCACCATCTGGAGCCTCTTTATGTTTATCAGCTCTGCACATCATAAAAGTTCATTTTTACAGCGTTTAACAAAGCACTGAAAAAGAAAAAAAGGAGAAAAAAGGAAAATATATACCACAAATACAATAAATTCAGGAAGAACACTTTTTTAAATCAGTACTTTTCTATGTTAAACCTTACATAAAATTAATACTTACAGTAATGTGTGTGCATGTTAGAACATGCTAGTGTTCTTCCAAAGACAACATACTTGCTGCATTTCATTGATCTTCAAATGCAACAAGAGGCTCAGCAGATAGAAAATAAAACAACAAAGGTGTGTGTCTGTATTATCCATTAAAATGCAGGTTTGTTAAAATGCAGCCGCCTTCAGTAAATTAAAATTAGCGTTTTGATGAGGTTCGTTTATCGGATTAAAAGTGCCTTTTGAAAATAATCTCTAAACTCATATTAAACATGCCTTTTAATGTGACAGCATCTCTACATATACTAATCACACATGTCACATTTTCATTTGCTTTAAGTGAAAAATATGCAGAACTAGATAAAAAAAAAAGACTTGAAAACATCCATCTGTGTTATTAGTCTACATGGCATGTTTAACTTAGTGGACAGAGTAACTGAAATGAACCTTTTAACACTATTCTGATGTAATATATTAGTAACACAGACTAGAGTATCAGATGCATATGGAGGAACCGAACCGACAGTTCTTCTGCTAATCAAGACACAACATCTCCGGAACATTTTCCAAAAAGACTTTACTTGAAAACAGAAAAAACAAGTACAAAACAAAGAAAACCAGCGTAACACAATACAACAGAAAGGCAATACATTGAGTAGGCAACACGGTTGCAGTTTGCAAAACGTGCCCATAAAAACAAATGAGGGTTTCTCTGACTTTCTGCTCATACGGTCATCGACTAATCGAGGAATAAAAGAAGAAGCCAGAGAAAATGTTTGAAAATTCACGGAAATGTAAGCAGAAATAAATTTTTATTTAAGTAGGCGAGACTCTGCTTAGCTTAGCTGAACTGACTGGCAGTGTTTGAGAGCTTTGTATCAATTAAAAAAATAAAAAATAAAATCAAGACACGGGTGGCTACGCACCAACACTCGAGTGTGACTCGACAATCCAAGAAGCTACAGAACATTTTTTCTTAAACATACATGCATACATACAGCCACACCAGCAAAATATAAAAAAAAAAAAAAAAAAAAAAAAAAAACCCCAAAAAGAAAAAGTTTAACTGCTTCAGCTGTGTATAAAAAAAAAAATAGTAAAACAAAAGAAGTTTGGCAGTGTGAGGATTCAACAAGCAAAAACATTTACGTCTGTACATGGTGAGTTTTAATATAAACTACAAATGAATAGGTAAAGTATTGTCTGTGAAAACACTGCAGGTGAGTGACCCGTCACTTCGCTTGTACAACACAAAACAGAGAGTACAATCAAAGTAGAGTCTCATTTGTGAATTGGAATGCCTAAGAATACGTACCACTGAGTAACGTCCCATTTCCAGAAACATCATACCCTTTGACAACACCCAGATGAACAATTTGCAGCACCACATTTTTACAAAATAGCAACTCATGCGAGATCGCCTCTGGCCCTGTACACTATTTGCAGAATGCATCATACAGTAATGTGACACGCTGTGTGCTAAGCACGTTCCAGATCAGTCGCTTCCAACACCAGCCCTCAGGATAAACCGCCAGGGATGCTTTAGATGATTTGCTGCTGCAGAAAACCTGATTTCGATCAATTGGCCAATTGCCAGGTGCCGGTCGAACTTCAATTATCAGAATTGGTTGTGAGGAAAACATCTACAAGACGCAGGGCAGTTTGAGCTGAGGACCAGGGTTGGGAAACACCGTTCGGGATTGTAGTTTTTCATACAGGACACTGAATGAACTGGCTTTGCCTGTTTTCATGTGTGTGTGTGAGTGTGTGTGTAGTTTTGTGACTGTGTGCGTGTTGCTGTGTGACAGCGGATGAGGCTTAAGACACAGTTCCTCCAACTATGGAAGCAATAACAATTCCCAAAATCACACAGCATATAATGATCATGATTTTCTTCTACAAAGTAAAAAAAAAAAAAAGAAAGAATAATAACATAAAAAAAGAAAAGTCCCACGCAGCAGACAGGAAAGAGAGAAAAACTTGTTAGCAGTATGAACAAAGCTTTAATACATTTGAACAAAGTGAAACTTAGAAAACAAAAGTGTGATTTAATAACATAAAATAATCTCAGGAAATGACTGGAGTGCAACTTTTACCAGGATTTGTAAAAGCTCACGTTTGAATATTTGCTTCCTGCATTTTGTTCAACAACTTAAGGACAACGTTCAGTTTTACAGGCAGAGAGAACTCAGTGAGACATAAAATTATTATTTAAGATTATAATCAATTCTTAAGAAAATGTGTGTAAATAAAAGAGTGCTGTGAAACTTTTTGTCGTCAGAGAGGAAATTCAGCTGAAATGAAAGTTACGGCAATAAAGTTGAATTGTACTTTTTAGAGATTGCTTGATTTAATAGAGCGTTTCAAGATAAATACATTAGATCAGATCTTCTTAAGTTGCAGAAGATTGAGTTCTCTCTGCCTTAGGGGCGTTTTGCACATCTAACAAACACAATCACTTGAAAACAGAAGCTACAAAAGCTGTAGCTCCCTCTGGTGGTAGAAAAAGGTCACTGTAGGTTTCTAACACTATCTCAATAAATATAATTCATAAGCGACCAGTGTCCGACAAAACAAAAACAAGATGCCTCAAAGTGTTTTCATCTGAGCTTTAGTTGAATTATACACGTCTCTGATTTATCAAAAGATCTAAAAGTTGTTGCTGGTAATACTTTCTCAACCTGAAGTGGGAAGATGTCGCCTTGGAGTGAGCTTGCTGAAAATGTAAATAGTTTCACTAGATTTTATCACCCTTGAAAAGGTCTTTTTTTATGCCGCTAATTCCAAATTTCATCCACAAGTTTTGAAAAAGATTGGTTGTCCATGAACTACTAAGAGATACATGTGATAATCAGAATAAATGCTCGATTTGGAGAAGTACGCAACATTTTGTAAGTTTCAGAAACGTGCAAAACGAGAAACACAACATGTGCAAGAGCAATATAAAATAACATAGTAAGGCAATATTAATTAGTCCCACACAGTTTGAGTGCTCATTTACAATGGCGACACTAAATTATTGAGCCACTTCTAGAGTAGCAAACGGTGTGTGTCAGGGTCCTAACTGAGGCCGACAGCAAGAGAAACAATGAGGATGGTGAGGCACACTGCGACACAACCACCTATCAGGATCATTTTCTGGATGGGGAACAGAGAGAGCAACGTGTCAAATAAAGGGTCAATGGGACGAGTAAGAAAGAAAGAGAAATATAGAGAAAGAGAAAGGAGTAACGGAAAAAACAAAGAAGGAGAAACAAAGGGGGGAATAGGAGAGAAAGAAGGAGTGGATTAGTGCTATTTTTAACCAGCAGGGGGCAGAATGGTTCCATTTTCTTTCCAGAAGTTCACCTCCCTCAGTTAAACTGGTTAAAGAAGCTCAATTTGACTCTGTTTGGATGAAAGATGGGAAACCATCCAACGACCTCGGCCACATAATTCAAGCTTAAACTCTCTTCCACAAAACGGGCTTTCAGGTCGGGCTGAGCAGAGAATCCCTGGGAGTGAAGCTGAGAGGACGGGGCGCTGAGAACAAACGGGTCAACAGATTTGGTCCAGTCCAATGAGAAAACAGCAAAACACGACTCAGGCCAAAGGATGTGCATTTTGTTTTCCAATAAAGCTTGGTTCAGGGTGCAAAGTCAATCCTTTTTTCTCAAGGACTTTTTTTTAATCTAGTTGGGTATAAAAAAGAGAGATAAATTAGCAGAACTTTTACGTTTTTTTCTCTTAGAAATTCAAAAGTTTATTTACTTCATTGACCCTTAAAATATATTATTGTGATCACTAAGAAGTTGATAATTGATTAAATAAGTGCCTGAGTTCCAATGTAATAATTATATTAGAGCAGCTTGATGAAGAATAAGTCTTTCAGATGAATTACTGTTGGAAACTGAAACTCTGAGTAATCAATTTTTAACGAGACTGATGAGAGATTTTAACACGCTAGTATAACTTTGTTGCTCCAGCAGATTGTTTGGGTATCACAGCAAGGACTTATGTGTAAATATTGATATAAAACAGATGCAGTTGGATTTAGAAGTCAACCACAATGAAAAAGTCCAAAACAAAATTAAAAGAACCACAAGGAGAATGAGAGATGAGACACTTCTTGCACTTTTGTTTACTTCTGCAGTTATGACCTCTGAGGTCATTGGTTGATTTAGAGGCAGAGCATAAATTTGTGGTTATCTCTAACTTAGACATCCGTAAGTCGTTCCTGGATCTTATACTTAAAACTAAAATCCAAAGATGCCAGTAGAGACAGACTGTTGTGAGTGAGTTGTTACCACCAGAGGTCAACACAACCTCGTCTTCCAGTCGGTGCCACAAGTTGCGTTCAATCCAATCCCAACACACAGACACTTTGCATGCAAACTGTATAACAGGTAAACATCCATGCACACAGACAACAGCTAACACTCCACTCCCCTTGGGGCATGCAATGCTTCTGAAGTAACGCTTTGCTGCTCGTCGCAGACACTCACCCTGCGTGCTTTACTTTGGTACTTAACCGCCTTCTTAGTGTCTGATACCGCCCTCTCCACATAGTCTACCGAGTGGTCCACATTGTACTCTATGCGGTCTATCATTTCCCCCTAGGAAGGTTAGTTAGAGGTGGCCAAGTGTGTGGGCAGGAGCAGGAGGAGTGGATGTAGGGAGAGAGAGAAGGTGAAGGGAAGGAGAAGGAGAAAGAAAAGGAGATAAGTATGTCACCCGTCTGCTGGACTTTTTGAACTTTTTGCATTTCGGGATGCGCTCCTTTGCTTCCTCCACATATTCCTGAGCGCCTTGAACGCTCCGCTCGACATTGTTCACCAGTTCGCCCTGCACACAAAACAAGAAGGCAGAGGACGTGTTGGTGAGAGCACAAATGAATCACATAGATCAGTGGTTCCGAGCCCCGTTTTCCTGAACCACACACACCTTGTATTTTCTAAACCTCTTCCACCTCGGTCACATTGTTCTGTATTTATCATTAATGAATATCTTCTGTGTGAAAATAGACCAATCAGAAAATGTCTGGTTTATTGAAGTTTGTCTAATTTTCAGGCTTGTGTTTGCAGGCAAGACACTTTTTATCCACAAGACTGGAGGGAAACTCAAAACTAACAATGCCTTTGATGAGTTCAGGTGACATTACAAGCCACCGGAGCTAAATGTCGTCTTCATGGTACACTTTTGTTGCTCTTTGAAATATTTCCATCTCTGTTCCCAGGTAGCAACAAACCCGATTTCAACTTTAAAGAAATACACACAAATAATTTTGCTTTACGTCCAAGATTCGACTATTCTCAGCTGTGATTCAGATATAAATAGGTTTCAACAACAAAACATAATTATTGTAAATTTGTGATCATAAAGCAATTGCAAAATCCAATTTAAAGCCAGTCTGCACAGAATGCATGCAAATTTAAAGACAACATTTCATTCACAACATAATAAAATTATAAACAGACTTATATTACCTTGTTTTATTGGAAGGAGCTTTCTGTGTTGTCTAGAGCTTAGAGTCATTGCAGTGGTGACAGGGTTGTGCGAAGACAAAGAGCGGAAAGCAGAGTTGTGGATAGAGAGACAGACAGAGAGCAATGCTGAAAAGGTAAAATTACATTTTCATCTGAGAATGCTCTCAAACTATGAGAAAAGCAAATTAAAATTTGGATATTAATACACAAGCATGTAATTACCTTGAATTAAAACAGTGGTCCTTATTTTGTTATGGCAATTTACTGACACAGGAGGGGATGGGACTTTCACGAGACAACATTACCTCCGTTCACATTTCAAATGCAGCTTAATAACTAACTTTTAGTGTTTGTTTAGAGTTAATAACTACATTGATGGAAGAACTGCAGCTCATAGAAGACAAAGAAATTGCAAAAATAATAGGGAATTCAATTGTAAGCAGCATGTCTTTAAATAAAACCTCTTGATGTTGATCGCCTAACAAATTTTGTAGAGATATGATATTGGATGGAAGGCATATGTGTGGAAAAACAACAATACTATTAAAAGATATTGGTATGTAGGTATAATGCATTATGACTCAGATTCACTGAAGGTTGCCTTGTGGGGTACCACAAGGTTTTGTGTTCGGAACAAAACTTATCATTATGTTTAAGCAATCAAACGACTTCATTATTTATTCTGGTAAAAATGTAAATTTGTGGAAAGGGAAATAATGCTTTAAAACAAACGGTGTAACACAGATATAATCCAGTAAAACAGCAGAAAATGTATGATAATTGAGGTTCTAACTAAAAGTGTATAAAACCAGACTGACAGAAATTTCAGTGGTAAACAATTCATAAGGTGAAATGTCTAAAACATTGCAACACTCCCAAGTATAAGGGGAATGTCACTCTGACGTCTCCTCTGCTGGTTGATGATGAGTGTTACTGCCAAGGATAAAATACAAACACATCTGAATTCATACCCGTCATGCCATCTTGAGTTACTTATTACATGTACAGATTTTTTTTTTTTTTTTTAATGGAAACAGCGTTACAATTTTGTACACAATTGTAATAAAAACCACAAAATGCCAACATGCAGTGACTGGCTGCTGCCAGGAAGACACAGGAAGATGCAATTTTATATTTTGTAGATTTGTTCTAAAGAAGTATGTTTAATAAAAATGGCAAAAAGAAGGTAATTCCTAACATTTATTGTGGCCATCAGTTTTTTTTTCTTTTCTGAGTTTCCTTCATGTCTGGGAAGCATGTTTTGTTCTAATTTATGTCAATGTTTAACATCATCTGCTTGTTTTTTTTGTGTTTCATTGTCATTCAGATCAGAACGCTTGTCAAACACGCAGGTGTAAAAGCGTTTTTTGCCATTATGTTCAATTTCACTTGTCTATATTTGTTCTAATAATGGCATCAAGAAATCTAAATAAATGTTGAATGTTTTTTCTTTCTTCTTTCATCCTCCATGTTGTGTGCGGTATTTGCTGATGTGGGATTCTCTGTGGGGAGTTCAGCCCACACTCCTGCAGTCAGACATGGCAGCAGCAGCAGCAGGACTAAAGCTCGCTGAGGACAGCAGACGCAACTCTGCACCGAAGGATTACTGATGTGTGTGTAAGGATCTGAGGAGTTGCGTCTCTGGATTAGCATCCGATTGATCCCCTGAATCACTCAGTTTGTTCAAGACAGCATTTGTAACTGAGTGAAGTGATCTGTGCTTCTAGCTTTACAGCTGGACAGCGAGACAGAGAGAAGGAGTGTGGTTTTCACCTGACTCTCCACCAACATGGCCATATCCATGAACATGTCATGAAGTTCCCTGATGCTGTTTTCCAGCTTGATAATCTCGTTGTGCCGCGTCTCGATCTCATTCATTGCTTGTTGGGTGATGTTATCCATTATTATCTGAGGATAAAAAGAGACAAGAAAATAATATCAAGTCAGAATAAAATATTTTTTTAAAAATAGCTACAGAGTCGCTTACCCCAGAGGTAAAGATGGCAGGGTTATCACTCTCTAACATGCTCTCTAGTTCCTCGTTTGTAGTGTTTCTTCCAGCTAAAAAGGAAAAAACAAACACACCAATAAGCTAGTCATGTTAAAGTTGTGATGATTGAATGAATTGTTTATGTCCACTAGATGGCAGTCGCGAGCATAGGTGAATGCATAAATGTCAAGAATAGGACAACAGAAGGGGTCAGTCATTAGTGAGACACCTGTGTGCAACTTGTATGAGCAAACGAACCAGAGCGACTTTAATAAAAGCATCTAAGAAGAAGCACAACGTCTGGTTCTTATCAAGCACGAACAGAACAAAAGTGGCATAACGTCTCTGACATCTGGGATTTCCATAGGCGCTGCCATAGAAATACATCTGTCAAAAATCACCATGCTTAACAGTGGTACAGTGCTTCTTTTGTGAAAGCTTCAACTGGACTCTCCAAACATCAATCTTGTCTTCAAGGTCAAATAATTTAACTTATTTGATCCAGAAGGCCTTTGGAAATACCAGTAAAGCTATGAGAGAGATTTCCTTTCAAGGCCAGAATCCTTTCAGTCCATGATGATGTAAAACTAATTTCACTCTGGGTTTTGACAATGGCCGTTTCCAATTCATAGTCAGTTGAAACCTTAGTAGTTTCATGGTCGTCCCTAAGAAACATATCCATTTTCTTGCAGGCTGAGGGTGAGGATGGCAGTGTGGGTCTGATGCTGATCCTCGATGCTGCGCACAAATCCAAACCGGTTTGGATCCGGAGGGAAGCTCACCAACCTTAAGCTGTTGGAATGGCTCTAAGCTCAATGCTTTAGAAGACATGCTGATAATTAGAGCCAGTAAATTAAAAAGAACGTTTCCGATTCTGGGGAGATAAAAAAAAAAAGCAGCCAGAATTATGTGGGGAAACTTCTACAACTCAGCGAGGCATATTTTTATTAGTGAGTAATTTTGACTTTAAATTGATAAAAATCATAATGTAACATTCATGGCGATAATAAATTTATGCAAACTTCTGTTGAATAAAGATATTTTTCTCTTTAAATCAGTCTGTCAGCGTGTTTAAATGACTTTAAGGTACTTCATAATAGTTTAGCTTCTTGTTTTTGAGCTCCTCTCTGTAACTAGTCTCCCTCCATCTACTAATTCTTGTGTATGTCACCGTCTCTTCCTGCTACATTTGCTCCTCATCCACTTTTATTTGCCCCAGCAGAGTTGCCCTACTTCAGGAACAGTTTTTCTACATCTCTTGTAATATCCTACAGTGTGAATGCGGAAACCGCCTGCAGAGTTGTGACTCTGGAGGTCCATTACTCCCACTGTTACAGCACGTCTCTGTCAGATGTTGTCAGCATCACTTCAAAATCGTTTCCATGCACATATTAAATCTCTACTTGGTCCACAAACAGCTCACAAAAGAAGTTTTTGCTCCTTTTTTTGTTGTTTGTTGAAAACCTAGTTTCTATCAAATAGTTTCTAGTTGTGGAGGAAAGTTTAGTTTTTGTACAAGCCACAAAAATATTCTATAACAGCTACAAAAAAGAAAAGCATGAATGATTATGTCAGCTTTCTTTTGACCTAATAGTAATGAACAATATTCTGGTGTAATATGCCAACCTTCCAGATATAATATGGTAATTAGGAGTTATAATAATTAATCCAACATGGTGGTTCCACTTCAGCCTGGTGGAAGCCTGAGGGATCTGCTCAGTGTCTTAGCTGCTCCTAGGACTGTCCCCTGCTGGAGGTTTCATAGAGTAGTACCGGAATCAGCTGCACCAACTCCTCCAACCTCTGGGTCAAAGGGTCAATGTGCCAACAAACACTCACGGTTGAAGCCTCTAATCTCACAACCTCTGTAGTTCCTCTCTGAGCCTCCAGGCTGCACTCGACAAATAAAGTCCTGTATAATATTGGTAACAGAGGCTTGCCTACCAGTGTTTTACACCTCTATGTTCTATGGTATGTTATTGATTTTTACACAGCCTGCATCTCAGGTCCAGTGTAGTAGTGTGGCAGGTCCTGACCTCTACTGTTCCTGTCCTGCCTCACATTAGTGCCTCTGCATCCTCCAGTCCAGCCCCCTATACCCATTCATTAAACTTTCTTTAACTCTTCCTCACTCTGTTGGTGCTTGTTGATGGTCTCACCTGGTCTTTTTCTTGCACTCTACATTTCTGGACATTCACTTTGCAATTCATTACAGTGAGGCATCTTCCTAATGTATTCAAGGTCCTTGATATTCACTGGTCCTCAGTCTGCCTCCTTTCTCTTGCCATACATCTCAAGATGCTGGTCTGGAGATGGAAACCTCCCTCATGCTCGCTTATATTCAGTGGGATAAATCCGTCTTTATGGCTTGTGTCGACATAAAGATTATTTGTGGAGTAGGACAATTTGCAGTACACTAGCAAACTGCAATATTGAGTGATGCTTAACAGTATTAAATGGGTGTATTGTATGTAAATAAATGTCAAAATCTGGGCTGCCGCAAATCTGAAAAACACAGAACAATGATATTTTTGTCCATTTGTTTTCCACAGTCCCTCAGTCGGGGAAAACTGTGTGTATTTATAAATAATGATGGCTGGATTCCACTCAGCACATGCTGGCTCATTGTCCTGGTGAAACCAAGACAAGTAGTGAAACAACCAGAATGAAACTATTTGTGTGTTTCTTGCTATAAAAACTCAAGGGAGGCTAAAGAGATTCTTTTACAGGAGGAGATTACAGGGTTTCTCAAACATGCATGCAAGAATCAAGGCGAGACCAAGCATATTTCTGATGAGGGAATAACACTGCAACACGATGTAAAGCTAAAAAAGTCAATTTTTTATGATACTGCCCCTTTAAATAATCTCCTAAAAGAAAGGCTCCTTATTACATTTAATAAAAGCTCAAAACTGCATTAAAACCTAAATATTTTTTTAGATATTCTGCCAAAGAACAACAGATTGATTTTCTCTAGTTGTCTTTTGCATTGGTAGAAAATCTTTCAATACGATCAGCATTTAGATGAGTTATCATAACTCTGTGTGTGATAAAAACCTCACTGTGAGCCAAGCTGAGCTTACAGCAATAAAGAGGAGCATAAGGTGGGCTGAAGATGGTATAGCCTTCCCCAAATTTCATCCTTTTCACCACACAAACATAAAAGTGGAACGTATGGTTTCTGGAAAGCTGAGATTATGCAGGTGTCCAGGCAGGCTGCTCAAACACTGCTCTACTTCCTCCCTGTGAGACTCCAAACAGCAGGAGTGCCACAACAAAAGCCTCTCTCCATGACGTCATCAGAGTGTGTGCGTATGACCAAGACTTTGAGAATAATGGAGACTGAAAATGAACCCTCTGTTTTGGAAAGAACACAGAGGAAGCACCTTTACAAGACTTCAGGCCCACTTGGCTAAACATTTATGGAGCAAATCGACTCTATTCACACCGTTCAGGTGGCGTCAGGTGGTCATATCCTTTCACTAAACAGCTTAGGAATCTATTTGAGTTCACAATTCCAATTTATTTATTAATTTTCTTTACATGCAAAGCATTAGCACGCACACGCAGACACGTTGTTGTTTCCTTTACAAGCTCCAAGGGAGGATCTTAATTGTTGCCATGGAGACCCGAACCCTGAAAAGTCCAATATGAAGCTGAGGAGCATAACTACACCCATAGTGTTCATAGGCTATTAAATCTTTAATGCTACCTTGCTGGCAGTAATTGCACTATTTCATTTCCCGTGTTTGGTGAATCAGAAGCGTCGTCCTCGAGGAGCAGAGAGCACAAACGTTTGCGCAGCAGAAACAAAAAGACGAAAAAGGTCCTCAAGGCTCCGATGGTTGTATTTTCGCTGTCAATCATTAGAAATTTTTTATTAACTCTTTATTGTTAATCTTATAAGAGTCAGATTTGCTGTACAGGTGAGGAAGACGTTGTTGGACCACATTTTCCTGTGCCGGAGCGAGCAGCTAGCGGAGCGGTCTGATGGGAAATGGAAAACAATAATCAAATGTCAGAGAGAAACCCTGCAACGTTTGCGGCCAAGCTCTCCTCAGCTTGGTCGGCCTGGCTGCTTGCAGCACGCAGAAACTAACAACTAAGGTCTAAAATACCTACATATACATTTCTACATACGTTTTAGTCGACAGATTTACTTGGACGGACGGATGGATGACTTTACAATCCTAAATAGCACCATTGTTATGTCAGAGCTGAAATCCTCCAACATGACGCTTGCAGGGCGCTCCGGCATTTCTTTCTTGTCCTTTTCATGTCTGCACCCATCAGGACAGAGTGGAGGTAAGCAGCAGAATCGATACAGAGACTGAATGTTTCCCTCAGTGTGTGACATTTTATCGATTCACACACAAACCGGTGAAAGGTGTTGGAGCTGCATGACGCAAGGAATTAAATCTTTAGACGAACAGAATTTAAAGAATGGGGAAAATCCTCCCTCGGACAAGAAAATAATTAGTTTTACCTGCGTACTCAAAGTGCTGCCTGTCTTTATGTGTGTGTGTTTTTTCCATTGATGCTTGTGTGTGATCCCTTCCTTGGCGACAGTAAAAGCCTCCTGTGATTCCAGCAGCTGACGACTCAAACCCGAGCGGATCTGGAAGAGCTCAAGGAGAAAGTGACTCAGGTGTTTGACTTCATAAGGTGTGTTTTTGTCCTTTGACTAGGCCCACAGAGTGCTGCGAGCTCCATTGTTGTCCAGAAAGTGGCACATGGAGTGGAGATAAGCTTGCTGCATGTGTCCGGTCTCCCCTCAGTTATCACCACTAAATAACTCATGGCGTTCATCTCCGTATGGACGAACTTATGCGTTGTGTACATTTAGGCGACTGCATGATGTGTTAAATGAGGAATCGTCCAGGACTGGAAGGCTTACATTTAATACCTGTCAGTTCATCTGACGCATTCAGCGCGATGGGAAAGAGCAGAGCATAGATCTGAGCTGCGGTAACCTGCTGAGAGCGTCCAAGTGTGTGTGGGTGTCGATGAAAAGCGATTTGATTCTGAAAGCGGTTGTTGAGGCGCACTCCGCCAGGGAGACACAAATAAACGACAGAAAAGCGAAAGTGAAACCTGAGAGAACACACTCTCCTTCTACCATGGGATTTTGTTTATTAGAATATTGTTGGAAACTGGTGACAAGTGCCCAAAAAACACAACACTTAAGAAGAGTCAAACAAAAAGAAATAGAAGTTGAAAGGAATAAAGCAAAAGGCAAAAAAGAATATTAATAGTAAAGTTGAAATGAAAAAAAGTATTTTTGGTCGAGTTTTCAGTGCCAGTACACTTGAAATAAGACCAAACTAATTTACAAGTAACTTTTAAGTGAGATATAGGAGCTTGTTTTACGTCAATAATTCTTGAATAATGACAAAAAATGTATGAGCTCCACTTCAGGTTTATTTCATTTATAATGCGGGAAAAAGTGAAATAGAAAAAAAAATGTTGGTAAGATTGTGTGTTTTTGCAGTGTGATATTTTCAAAATAAAGTTTCTACGCTGGAGTAGATTAAAGTGACATAAAACCAAACTCACACAACAATCTTTTAAAATCTTTTGGAAATGAACAAGGAACTTCATCTGATCATCATCTGGATGCACTTAAGATCTCAGCCAGAGCTGAGCTAATTCAAATGTTAAATAAAATAAATTTTAAAATGAGTCAAAAGTTCCTTTGTTAGACCCTCAAGCCCCTCATCATGTTATTTATATTCAAAGTAACTCATGTTGTAAAATAAAATAATAATATTTCAAGAGTTTAACAGAAAATCTACAAATTCATAGGAATCTTTAAAAATATATATGAAGCTCTCACTAAACAAAATGAATAGAAAAACTGTTTTTCTCTGTTGCTTTGTGTTGTGTCAATGACGCAACCATAAGCCTGCTAACAGCGACTCTTAGTTCGTGTATTTTTGTTGTCTTTGGCTCAGGATTTTGAGGAACTATCTCTGGAAATCTTCATAATGTCTAATCCTGCCAAATTAAGATGCATTGTTCTTTGAATTGTCCATTTTCAATGTCCACTTTTTCTTCTGCAGTGAATTTAGAACACGTCATTTTCTTCTTGCTTCGCGTGCTTTTGCCGAAGAAGTGTAAATTAGCAAAAATCTCCAAAATGAAAGAAAAATTAGTTTTTGCAGTTTTCTGAGTATTGTTCAGTGGAAATCATTTTAGTTGAAGGAGCTGTAGCAATGTTTGGGCAACAATACAAGCGTCAAGATGAAGCGAGCTCAGAGAGAATCATCCAAAGAGACTTGCAGCAGCAATTGCTGCAAAAGATGGCTGCGGAAAGGAGCGAATTTAGAGGAGAGAATAATTATGCACACCGAAGTTTTCTATTTTTCCTACTTGTTGTTTGCTTCACAACAAAAAGAAAATGAAATGTTCAAAGCTGTAGATACGCTAAGTGAAATGATGCAAACCATAAAACAGGTGGATACTTTTGAAAGTCACTTCATGTGAATGAAAGCAGCTGTATTTTTTTTGTTTTATGTAATAATTTTAGGACATAAATGAGGACAAAGAGCCCGGTGGGACTGCAATTAAGTTCGTAAACAACAAAGACAAATGATTTCAGTTTTATTTCGTGTGAGCTGAACCTTGAGTACGTAGTTGTGAAAAGAAATTTATGAATGAGGCATATTTTCTCACATGAAGAAAGTAACTGATTAAAGTTTTTGGCATCAGCTCAACAAAAAAACCTTTCAAACATTTAACCTGGAGAAAACTTAATATAACATATAATATAAAATATATAAATATATAATTCTGTAACAACAGGTTGTTTGGTTATCTTTTGTTTTTAGGAAGGTTTGCTTATCATTTCTGAGTTGTTTATTATTGTTAATGTCTCCCATATTCGTTTAATTTCTTTTTTCTGTATTCTTTATCATTTAGGTCTTGCCATGGTTCATTCCTTAGTGTTTAGCTTCTTTCTTAGTCCTTGTTTCTCTTATATTTCTGGTTCAAGATCCTGTAGTGTTTTGATTCAGATTCCTCAGATCAGTCTTCTTCTCTGATCAATTTTCTCCTTTAGCTGTTCAGCATTCTCCTCATTTTATTCACCTGATTCCTGCATCACCGATCCCATTGTTTTCAAAAGGCCCAATTTTAGTTGTTTTTGAAAGTGATTTGTCCTTTTATTTCACCATTAAAACTTTTCACTCCACCCCTCTTTCTCTGGTCTTCTAGCATTCGGGTTCAACTAAATGCAAGTCACTGATAGTTTTGCAAGTTTTATTTTAAATTAGAGCATAGTTAAATCCTATTGTACCAAGTGAAAAAGCCAATTCACTTTTGAGCTGCTCTAGAGAGTTTTAGTGCTCAAAAGAAGCAACAACTTTGGGTTGGAGTCAATAGTAAACAATTATCTACCATAAAACAATTTATCACCCGTCGTCGGTGTGCATTGGTTGATCTACTCACTGATCTCCAGCTGTCTCTGAATGCGGCCCTTGCAGCGCTCTCTGTAGTCCGACTGCGTGGTGTTGTACTCTGACATCACCTCGACGAACTTCCTGGACAACGTGGAGTGCTGGGGAAGCGAGGAAGAGAAAGAAAAATACGAAGAAGAATAAAAAAAATTGCTTCACCCAAGTAGGAAAAATAGCTGCAGTTAGATTACAAAGAAACACTTTCCTAAAGCTTTCGGTTGCTTGAACTCTACCTGTGTTTTGCGTATCCTCAGGTCAGCTGACGATCTGTTCTGCCCTTCCTCCTGCTCAATCGTTTGCTGAATACCTGAACAGAAAATAATAATAATAAAGACAATTAACTCAAACAAAACCCAAAGAGAAAAATATCTACTTTGATTCAAGTTTTATTGCGCTGCATGAAAATTATTTTTAATACAATTTTCTTATTCAATTTTTTTTCATTTTTATTGTTTAAATGTCATTTTTAGAATTAGTTCTTTATATAGTTTTTATTTAATCTCATATCAATCTTTTTTTAATAAAATTTTGATAAAACTCTTACATGAAGTTTCATTAACTTTACAATCTTTCTACAATCAATTATTAATTTAATTGTTTCTTTTTTTCTAAAGTCATTGTTTTATTATGTATTCATCTGAATGTATTTTGAAATTATTATAAATTTTTTCTTTTAAATCTGCCAGAGTTATGAATAATTTTGGACTTAAATGCTCCATAAAATATAACAAAATGCTTCTCAAATGTTTGTTTTTTTATTGAATAAATGTCTTCCATAAGAAATATCGACATCTGATTTGCAGCAGTACATCCTCCCCAAATCTCAGCCATCTGTTCTGTTTTTTTCAGATTTTTCTGACTGCATCCATTAGAGTAATAAATTGGTATAAAAACAACAGAGAAATTGTATTTTCTCATAAGATTTGTCGCGGTGCGAAGTTTGACATATGAATGAAATAAAGACAGGCAGAGTTGTCACAGCAATAATTTAGCGCATTTCATCAAAAAACAGCTCAAAGTGATTTTCATAAAGAAAACATAATAATAATCTACAGTATAAGAAATGAAAGTAAAGAAAAGTTGGATTTCAGACTAAAATCTATGATGTTTCAGTTTATATTATGAACAGTCAACAACAACTCTTAACAAATGTCCTGATTTTAAACAACTCAGGGTTTTGGCATTTTTGACGTTTTCTTTGTTCCAGATCAGTGGAGCATAGATATTGATGCTGCTTCTCCATGCTTGGTTCTAGTTCTGGGGATGCAGAGCGGACCAGAACCAGAATAAGGTTAATACAAGAATATTAAGGCTTTCATGTGTTTTGGGGCCAAGACATTCAGCGATTTATAGACTAACACCAGTGTTTGAAAGTCTATTTTCTGCACTACATTTTCTTGGTTTTAGTGAGGATGTGGATCAGCTGGAGATGAATGTGTATAAAAAAAACTAAATAACATTAAAAACTATAAATAGGTTTGTCATTGAGCTCAAAAGGTGTTTTTTGAGTAAACATTTATTTTGTCACCTTATAGTTTGTGGTTAAGATGTGATTAATTATACATGCTGTACTTGATTCAAATTTTGTATTGAGTCCCACCACTAGAAAAACTTGTACAATTAGTGTGATTCTGTTGCATAAATAAATAAATAAAAAACAACAACATACAAATCCAGAATATTTTTTATAATTAAAATCATTGTGGCTAGAGAGTCAAATGGATGCAGAATTCCAGTTTATTTGAACTTAAAGAACTTGCAGACCACTGACTGCAATGTTACTAACAGAAATGTAAATAATTACAACTTCCAGCCATCGACACCTCAGTAATAAGTGTCACTCATGTTTCTGCCTCTGGAGAACGAAACCTTCATGAATAAATGAAGCTGTCTGGGAGCTGCTGCAGGCTGAGCTCCTCAGTCTGAACAGCAGGTCTCCTCTGCTGGGAATGCAAAGCACCTCCGCAGGAAAAGATGAACATCTGATTTTATTCCTGACTGTTTGTCGTTCGTTTGTGAAATGAACCGCTCCATATTATTTAAGAAAACACCCAAACCCCTTGTGTCTCAGTCCCAGGCTCATGTTTTTGTTAATCGACACAACATAAACAGACGAAGACAACAATGACTTACTCTTTAATTTAGAGCGAATTTTGTTGGCCAGTTTCTTGATGTCTGCCATGAGGTCCTCCAGCTCGGCTTTGGTCTCTGAGGAAAACGGAGACAGAAGAAGAAGAAAGAGGAGACGTGAGGGTCTTTGTGTTTGTGTGAAACTGAGTTTAACTTTAAATGAGTTGATTCTCCTGCTTGGCTCTGTATATTCCTGAGGTCTTTCTGGCTTCAAAACGCCGTGTTTGATAGCGTTTGATAACGTTAATTAAAACTTCTCAATGTTTGACATTGTCTCGCTAAATGCTTTTACGTCAGGCTACATGGCTGCTACATGGATGAGCTGCTCTGTGCTGTAGTTGGGGATTTGTTGTTTGCTGCTGAGCAAAATCATTTCGTGCCTAAAACTATTTTTTACATCAACTTCTAAGTTAAATGAAACTTCTGTTGAAATCATGTGAAGGCTCAGAATCAGCCCGGTACCGGTCCACATTCCCAGGAGAGAAAGACTCACCTGGTATAAATTACAGTTAAGAGAAATTTATTTAATCGAAGAACGTCATGAATATGTGTGGGGGGCTGCACTGATTGCAGTTTTCTGGCCGATCCCTGGTTACCGATTTTTAAAGAGCCTGACCTGATTTTGATTTTGGCTGATATGAATGTTTTTTTTGTCTGAAATGTCGCTAAATGTAGCAAGAAAGTCATTGAATTGGCAACAACTCAGTGATGTGCAAACGTAAACATGTAGACGTTTACGTTTGTTAACTGTAAAGGTTCATATCTGACCTGTTGGGCCGGTCTGTCAGGCAAACCTCTCACTTCAGAGCAGAAAAGGACAGAGACTGATTTTTAAACCTTTGCTGACGAAGATAAGATCAGGGGATAAGATCAGCTTCACATATAAGTATCAGCAGATCACGATCCCCCCAAAATTAAGGAAATCGGCACCCAGAAATCAACTGGTCGAAAAATCAGTTGGCCAATAAATGTATCCTATTATCCATGTGTATCATGCAAAAAACTTGCATGATACTGCCAGAGATGCAGTACGTTTATGGCAGGTTTGTGAATAATCTAATGACCGGGCTGCTGATTGCAGCCAGTCCACATTGTTAGCAGAACTAAAGGGCCCCATGGAGGCTTGGGCCTGGTCTGAACTTACTAGTTTACTGCTGAAGATACTCTAGTTAATGAAACCAGAGTGTTAAATAAATGGGTCATAATAGAATGCATGTAACTCATTTCAGATTTGGATAGGAATTTCTTTATGTCTATCATAAAATGCATCAAATGTGTGACTGTTGTGTGCTGAAACTGTTGAAAAGTTCAAATATTGTGAATACTTTTGCACAGTTGTGTAAAAAGTAGAAACCCAGAAGCATTAATTACAGGTTCACACACACAGGGAAAATCTAATTTATCATCTAAATGTCATACACTCACCAAATCCCCATTAACAAGCAGCTAGGAGACAACACACACACAGACCTTATAAGTTAGCACAGTCGACCTATTCAGTCAAAGTGACGGGTCTGCAGTTCTTCTTTATAATGAGTTTATTTCTGCATATTTCCTGCTTCTTTAAGGCTGCATAAATCACAAAGATAAATTAGAGGCAGCGGCAGACCTGTTGAACCAAAACTCACTGCAGACATCTGAACCCAATTACCGATAGCCTCAGTGGATGATTTGATTACACAGACGGAGACTTCAGTCACTGGCACACGTTCAATAATTAAAACACAATATTTGCACCTATTTTCCAATAAGGAATAGGCTTAAATTGTGAGATAATCATATCATATTCTTCTCTAAATGTCCATTGCAAATCTGCTTTCTGCGAATGCCTTAATGTCAGACAAGGTTTGATAATTAAACCATCTAAAAACAAAGCACCATAATCCACACATCCATGTTGTGTTCAGGGATCAGAGCTTAAATTAAAACAGCAGATCCCAGAGAAACTGATTCGTTTTCTAATTAGGTAAAAGGCAAATGGAGAATCAAGGCAATTCAAAACAAAGAAGAGAAATTGCTACAGAAAAGCAAATTTATGCAAATAGAAACAGAAAATGTGAATATTTTTAACATATAAAACCCAGCAGTACTAAATACTTTTAGTCCTGTAAGTGCTACAAAAACAATATTTGAGAAAGTCGAGGCGCAAGTATCGGCTTCAGACAGCGTTTAGTAGTAGGAACTAAAACCAAACTGCAGCGGCGGTTCATAAAGAAATGACTCTGGTTCAGCCTCTCATTATTCCATTTGTTCATGCAAATAAACAAACAGCTTTTAGATTGCAACAATCAGAACTATGTTTTAAACAACTTACGATCCACGTTTTTCAGTACGATAGAGCTAAACCTAATTTCTGTCAATGTTTAGCTGCCAGAAAAAATGTTGTCTTTTTGTCTGTGGAGGGTTTTCACAAAAAAGAATCTTGAACTACGATCAGCGCAAAATAACTCAGGTTACGTCTTTTTAAAAGAACTGAATTAACCTACTGGTATTAAATGACAACATAATTTATGATGATTAGCTATTTGTATCTTTTGTCGATCATTTCTTCCATGTAAAGATGTGAGGAAACTATCTCCAAAGGCTAAAGGAGTACAAGGATAGAAAAAACTACACAAAACATACATAATATTTTCTTCTTTTTGGAATAAATCTGTGTGAAGCTCTTTTGTTTCCTAACCTGAAAGTTGCTACATGTGCAGTGAAGAGTTTGTCAGGGTCAGAAACAGACGTGATGACAAATGAGTTCAGCAGTGGAGTGGAGTCAAGCAAAGGTCAAGAGGTTTCTCAAATAGAATATTATTCTCTTATGTAGCAATTCCTAAAAAAATAAATACTGTAACTAATAATAAGAGTGAGGATACGTAACATAAAAAACTTGGACACCCTATGGCTGCCTCTGGGGTTTTGTAACCTATTTGGAGACATGAATAGTTATGATAAACTTTTCTTTTAATTCACCAAGTGCACACATACTAAACAAAACAAAAATTACAGATAAACAACAGATGAATTGATCTGCAAAATAAGCAATTAGAAAAACCAAAATAGGACAACTTAGTATCAATTTTGACCATTTTTACATTCAAGTAATGTGAATAAATAATACAAAAAAATTATAATAAAATAAAAAGAGCCAGTTTTGTAAATATATGCTAGAGGTTTGCTACATTTCAAAATAATTCATTGTTTATTATCATAATAATTTCATAATATGATGGTTCATATATAATTGAAGTTTTGATTGACTATCTAGCATTTAGCAGTCGTTCTGCTAAATGCTATGACAACCTGCTAAAACATTTAACTTTTATGTGTTTAATGTTAATTTTAGAAAAAACATACAATTTTAACAATATTTTAAATAAACCAGGACGGCCAAAAACGAGCATGTAGTCTTTTGTAAAGTGTGTGAGAAAACAAACACGGGGTCTTCAGAGATTATTTCACGATAAAGCCAATTTTGAAAGTAACGCACTTGCAAGCATTCGCCGTCTTTGTCAGAAAAGACAAAAAAGATCACATTAAAAGCTGAAATAAAGGTGTAAAACGAACCTTAGAGTGCGAGAAGAGGACAGCCTAACCGGAGCCTCAAAGAGGTGTAAGATTTAGAAAAAGCGCTCTTTCTCATTTCTCCATACCTGCGCTGTTCCACCAGGGCGGCTACAGGGCAGCACAGAGATAATAACATCAAAATTGAGGTTGGTCTCAGGTTGTTACAAGCCGTGTAAGTGTGCTTCTGAGTGTGCGGCGTGTCTTTTAAGTGGTTAGATTTGATTTGCTTCTCTTGGCAACCGAACAGAGGAAGCCAACCTGTCAGATCAAGTATCCATTCAGCCTCGTTAGTTGCTGAATGGAGGAAGAGTGCCGCCACAGACGAACAAGTAGAAGGAGAAGTGAGACAGAGGCAAATTAGAGGCCAAGAACTGAGGACTCGATTGAGCTGCGGCTTTGCCCTCCGTTCCTCTCCTAGACGTTTTCAGACGAAATCTTCAGGTCACGCTTGTTGCCATCACTAGGACTGCGTTGCCATGGAGATCTGTGCTGTTGGTCCTCTCGGCAGCTTCAGATGGTTTCGAAGTGACAGAAGGAAGGAGAGCCGAAGAGATGCTACGAGGCACTGAGATATGTGGGAGCTGCAAGAGGGGCCTCTGCGAGCACAGGAAGCAAATTCAGATTGGTTTTACCTTGTTGTTTTTATTTTTGAGGTCAGGGAGAGCTAAATGGAGCAGAAAATGGGTTCTACCTGGTTGTTTCTGCCATTTTTATTGACGGATTCCATAAAGACAACAGAGACTCACATGAATAATGGGTTTTGTCATTCTGGAGTCATATACAAGCAAATAGGACAAATAAAGGAAATCTCTGGATTTCAAGTTGCACTGACCCATACATAAAGCTACCTTCATTAAAAATTAAGGTCAACTTGTAGTCTCCATGATTTCCAGATCAAGGTATCTGGATCCTGGTAAATTTGGAAAATCTTTCCAAATTTACAGACTAAGCTGTAATGTTGCTGTTGTGGAAATCTGCACAACTTTCTGCACCTCCACCACCAGTTTTAGCTTTGCTGCGTAGGAAAAAGATCCGTCCGCACTGAGACACAGTTCTTTCTGTGCTGTCAGAAGGTGTTGTACAGTACAATCATGCTTCAATCCAATTACGTTGTTGCTCAGGAACTTTTCTTGCTCCTAAGTGCTACGTCTGATTTTAAGACTTCAGTATTTCTAAGTGCAATAAGTCTTTATTGCAGTAGAAGCACAACTCAGAAAATGCGTAACTATCTTTGGTCTTCCAGACATCAATCTATGTGCAATTTGGAGCTGTGCCTGATAACCTGGGAGCTCAGCTAATACTGATCTGAGTATGTTGATTAGCTACTTTTAATGCAAATCAAAATTTCATTAGAAACAAGTAGACAGCTACTGCTACTCAAGAATTTGATTTCAGATTAATTTGTGGTCAAACTGGAGAAGCATATACTCTAAGCTAAAGTTTTAATATTTTTCATATTTAGCAGTCAGTAGGTTGCACATTTAGACAGATAGTGTGACTGTTCGACACTAAACAATCTGTTT